TACAGGTACTAGTGTAATTCAATTTTTGTAACATCATTACATTCATCATCATAAAGCATTTAAGACAATATCCTATGAATTACTATTTAATTATTATAAAAAAAATAAACTTTTTTTATAATCTGAAATAAACTGACATAACTGATTAAGTTTAGTTTATGGCATATTGACATCATTAGTATGCCATTTTGGAAGTCCAAATAACACTTATCCAAAATGCATTAGAAACATTTAAAATCTCAAGCGGTAACGTTTTCATTAAAACCCATGCACGTTTTGATGTCACACTGGTACACCTTCACCAGCCATTTATCCTAGACTTTCTATCATTGTGACAAAAAAAGGCATAGAGGTTTTAACAAAAATTTTACCATATTTAATTTTAAACATTTTTTTAATGAACTTTAATGTTATTACAAAGAACTACAGTACAAAACCCGTTATCCGGAAATCAGAAATCCGGAAATCAGAAAACCGGAAAACCAAAAAACCGGAACGAAATTCGATACATTTTCCCGCGATTTTTTTAAAAAGATGTTTTTTTCTTCATAAGATTTTAGGATTTTTCTTTATTTTTTGAAAGATGTTTACCTTACCATCAGTTTAGAAATAATCATTAGTGTATTACTTCATCGTTTTTTCTTCTTTTTAAGATAATTTCCAAATATATATATTTTTTTAGTTGGGTTTAACGATAAAAAAACGGCTTTTTGTAGCGATTCAGAAAACCGGAAAAATCAGTTATCCGGAATAGCGATGGTCCCTATCGTTCCGGATAATCGGTTCTCTACTGTACTTACATAATTCAATAACAATCAATCAGTTCAACTAGTTGCCAATTTATTTGCTCTTTTTTGTCATTATTATTACTCTTTTTTGAAACTAAAAAGAGTTATACCTTTGTTGAGAACTATGTTTTAGCTTCATTTGACACATAACTTAAGTTATTGATGATTTTACTCTCAACTTTGATCTGATTTCTCTAGATAATGAGATATTGTAGTTTAATAACAAATATGAAGTATTAATTAGGCACAAAATACGTTTTAAAACAATGTTATAAGTGAAATGTGTATCACTAGTTCAAAATAGTTAATTATTGTGGAACCAATCAAAATGTAATCACTTAGTGCTGCTATCTACCAAATATATTTAAGAAACCATGAAAAAGCATTGTAATGAAATAGAAACACCAAGTAGTGCTTACTTGGTCTTAAATATCAACAGAATTTTTAAAAAAATCAAACAGAGGATATTTAATCAATAATTTAAAATTTGGAAAATTATTATTTATTCAGTTTATTTCAAAAAATTTTATAGCTTTAATAAGTTCTGTAAATATTAAAAAAAATTTCTTGAATCTAATTGTAATTCTTAAAATTTTAAAATATAAATTAGAATTAAAATTAGTAAGTTCATTAAATTCTATTATTTTATCAACAAAAAAAATTAATAAGTTGCCCTTCATCTTTATTTTCTTTTATATTTAAATCCAAAAAATAATCTTGTTCATTATTATTAGTTTTAATTCAATTTAGTTCTCTAGGATAAATATTCAAGACATTAATATCTCTAAAAAAATGGATAATCAAAGCATCAAGTTGTCAGCATCCTTTAATCCAATTTTGTTTGAGAAATTTAAATTCACAATAATGTAAATGAGTATTAACCAAAACACGCAAATAATTACTTCCTATAGAAATACCCTTAATTTATTTGTAGGTATTCCAATAGGGAGTAATTATCATTAGAAAGAGAATTTTCAAAAATTTTAAAGTTACATAAATTCATCCAATACTCTTTATTAGGTAATTTTTTTTCTTCACAATTTCTGAACATATATAAACTAGACTATGAGAGATACTTAAAATAAATTTTCAAAATCGAAAGCAAGTCTAATATTAATATTATTCGATTTTAAATAGTTAATTAAATCTTTATCAATATTCATAATAAAATGTTATATCAATTTGCAAAATAATATTAAACAACTGAAAAAAAATCTAAAAAGGGAATTGTAACTAACAGTACAAGTAACAAACCTTAATTTAATTGGTCTTTTATGAGATTTTAAAGAAAACTATAAATGTGATTTATTAATATCATCAATTTTAAAATTAAAATATTTAGAAAAAGCTAAAATTCGATTGTCAATTTCGCTTTTTAATTGTTAATTTTAATTAAAGTATTGTTTTCACAATTGAATTCATAATTTATCAGAAAAAACTTTTACAAATGAAACAAAAATTATCATCTTCTTTGTCTGCAACATCAATAATAAAATGTTTCTTTAAATTTTTCATCTCTTTAAAAGAAGAATTTAAATAAGCCTGTTAAGTGTGTGTAGCTATTAATTAGTTCAAAACATTAAATTTCCACTCTTTAAACCCTTCAACTTACCAACATGGCATAATTTGCAATGAAACAATCAACAATTCTGGCCAACAGATGAAAGATATCAAGTTTAAATTTTTGTTTCTAACTTTAAATTTTGTACCAAGTCCCACACAAAATTTTATTTTTAGCAACATGTATTTTAAAATCAAAAGCTAATCTAGTATTAATATTATTCTATTTTTAATAGTTAATTAAATCTTTATCAATATTCATAATAAAATGCTATATCAATTTGCAAAATAATATTAAACAATTGTAAAAAAAATTCTAAAAAAGGAATTGTAGCTAACAGTACAAGTAAAAAACCTGAATTTAATTGATCTTTTATGAGATTTTAAAGAAGACTATAAATGTGATTTATTAATATCATCAATTTTAAAATTAAATTATTTAGAAAAAGCCAAAAATTCGATTATCAATTTCGCTTTTTTATTTGTTAATCATATCAGAAAAAACTTTTACAAATGAAACAAAATTTATAAAAGGCTTTATCTGCAACATCAATAATAAAATGATTCTTTAAATTTTTCATCGCTTTAAGAAAAGAATTTAAATAAGCCTGTTAAGTGTGTGTAGTTATTAATTAATTTAAAACATTAAATTTCCACTCTTTAAATCCTTCAACTTACCAAGCTGGCATAATTTGCAATGAAACAATCAACATTTCTGGCCAACAGAAGAAAGATATCGTCAAGTTTAAATTGTTTTCTAACTCTCAATTTTGTACCAAGTCCCACACAAAATTTTAATTTTAGCAAAATGTATAATTCTCATACATATATATATATATATATATATATACAGGGTTATTCACAATTCCTACCGGGGTTTCGAAGCGTTACAGTAAAAAAACGAAGACGAATATGGCAAAAAAGGACATATGAAATTATTCCGAAAGTATTTAAGTTTTAATTTAAGCAGTTGCCGGTAGATGGCAGTAACATGTACCACTGAAGACAGTTGTAGTAAACATAAGGTTGTAGTAAACAGAGGGAATTATGAATTACCCTGTATATGTATATGTATATATATATATATATATATATATATATATANTAAGAATCTAGCCATATGGCGTGCACTTTTATAAGTAATAGTGGACAAGTTACGCTAAAATTAATTTTTTTTAAATATTAAGACATTAATTTTGCTACCGTCTGAAAAGAAAATTTCTGAAACTACGGAAATTCCGTAGCAGTTGGAGGGTATGTATATATATTTATATATATATATATATATATACATGCATAAATATATATACACAGTCCAGTCACATTAATGTGACCACCACCTACCTTCGACGTAAACGTGAAATAACCAATCACAGAAGGCAGGTGGCAGCATATTACAATAAAGTGTATATAAAGGATGTCCTAGGGCATCGGAAAGCATTTCAAGCGTTGGCGTAATGTAAAAACGTAGCGATTTATCCGACGTCCAAAAGGGCATGATTATTGGCCTTCGCGCCAAGTGTGGAAGCATTTTGGAAACGGTTAATTTTGTGAACTGTTCGCGTGCCATCGTGGTGAAAGTATACTGTGTGGTAAAATGGCACTATCCAAAATCAGTAGCTTGGCACATGCGGTGCACCACGGGCTATAGATGACAGAGGCGTAGGAAAGCTACGGAGATGCGTTCAGGTGAATAGACATGCAACTGTTTAGCAACTGACCGCCCAGATGAACCAAGGGGCTACCAAGTGTGTATCCTCAATAACGGTTCAGCGAATGTTGCTGTGCATGGGCCTCCGCTTCAGAAGCCTGGTTAATTCATCTATGCTGACTGCTGTTCATTGGCGACGAAGGCTGGAATTTGCATGCCAGTACCGCAACTGGATGTCCACATAGTGGTGACAGGTGGCTTTTTCCGATGAATCACATTTTATGCTCCATCGAACAGATGGACGTTGGCGTATACGGCATGAAACGTCTGAAAGCAAACACCCTGCAACAATTGCCGGAAGGATCCAGGCTGGAGGAGGAAGCATTATGGTTTGGGGAATGTTTTCCTGGCATTCACTGGGTGCACTCATCATTGTGGAAGACACGATGGATCAGCACAAGTACGCATCTGCCCTTGCGGACCATGTCCACCCCTACATGCGAATGATTTTTCGTTAGAATGATGGCATCTACCAGCAGGGTAAGGCGAGGTGTCATACAGCTCACAGTGTATGTGCGTGGTACGAGGAGCACAAGGATGAGTTTACCGTACTTCCCTGGCCAGCAAACTTACCGTATTTAAACCCAATTGAGAATCTGTGGGACCACCTCTATCGGTTTGACTTGGAATTTTTTTTTTCTTTCTGTGCAAAATCTTTAAGCTTATTTTTAACAGTTTTTTGTTTAAAATATGATTACTAACATGTCTTTATTTCTTTTCAACGCACAGTTGTTTTTAATTTATTTAATAAAGTCAACTAATATCTTGTAATCTGAATTTATACACTAAAAGTAAGTTTTAAAATTTAAGTGTACCAATTTGAATATTTTTAGATATAGGACTTCTTTCTATAAATGAATATAAATTAAAATAATATATAAACTGACTTGAATAGCACATGTAAAAATATTAAACATATCTTTAAGCAATAGATAAAAACATTTATAACAAAATATCTTTATTTTAACAAAATAATTGATTTGTTTAAATATAGTTCACAAAAATACATCAGAAGTTCATTATTACATTATTGCACTTCAAAATATTATACTTGTACAGACAATCATAGTAAAATATGAACATTATAAAACATTGAAATATTTAATACAGTTCATTATCTAAACGAGCTTCAGTTCAGGAACTACATTTTTTATAGCATTTCTAACAACTTTAGCTACCTAATGAAAAAAATATTACTGTCTAGGCATTGAAACTTGATGCTGTGTTATATAAATCACACCTTATTTGTACTTTGTTTTTCAGCATTTTCTTCTTCTGCACTTAAATCAGCACGAAAGAATATTCGAGCACTGCTCAAAGAATAATTCAAAAGATCAAATTCCTGTAATAAAACGAGAAAAAAATTCTTTATTATTTGGAAAAAAATATTTTAAATAAAGGATATGGGATAAGTGGTGGAAATATTTTCCCTCATAAATATATATTTCAAATCAGAATTTCAAACGTAATATATATGTATCCCAATTATCTGCAGAATTGAAGGCCTACAAGCACGGATAAGCGAATTCACAGATAATCCGAAAAACAATTTTTAAAAAAATACACTCATCAACAATTTTCTTTAATATAAATGATAAATTTCAATATCTATTATTAGCAGTTTTCTTAGTATAAGTTTTTTTCCTTTTTTGCATAAAAAAAACCTGCCCACTTCTTTTGTTTCTTGGTATTGGAGAGCAGGTGGCGGAAAATAAAACAGACACAACCAGACTTTTAACTCAGGAGTTCATATGCTTTTGAAAAAAAGAATGCACAAAACAATTTTCGAAACACATGAATTAGTTCTTATAAAGAGTCACTGCACATACAGGATTTTTATAGAAATACTAATCAGTAACTAAACTAACAATAAATGACTGACTACAATTCTGAAATCATGCATATGGCCTATAAATTATTCAAGACCCTGCTTCATTCTTTTTCTTTTAGGGGAATAAGTGTCCTGTGGGAACCACCCTCATTTGTTAATTATCAAATTTATAACTGATAAGAGTTCCAGGAATGTGTTACATGTTGACTAAATAATGGCTGAGGATTATTCATTTCCATTCATCATATGAAGGCAAAACAGAAAGCACTAAATTTCTTTACTTGCTATCTATAACATTACTTCGAATAATAACCAGGGATGAGATTAGCCAAAAGGCAAAAAAGCTGAATTTCTACACTATTAAATTTTAAGCAAACGCAACCCTTTAATAATAAATTCCAGACAGTTTAAGATAATAAATAATGTGTTGACATACAATTGTGTACTAATCTATTATTATATAAATGATTACATTGATACTTAGTGAAAATAAAAATTACCAATTGAAAAAATAAAGCTGGAAATTATATTTTTCCTCAGTTCACATAAGAGACTTATTACTTGAAAAACTACCTGGTTTAGCAAATTAAAACTACTGAGTATATACATAAATATTTCATTTCTTTTAATAAATACTGTTATGTGATTTATAGCAAATGTATCAGTAATATTACTTTTTAAATTATTTTGGGGAAAAAAAACTAAAATGGGCAGAATCATTATGTTCATATTATAGTCTAATCTAACTAGAGCCCTCTGAAACATATCAATAACAGTGAAGTAGAAATATATAGTAACTCCTTAACATACAAAAATTGCTATTTTAGTTTGAAAAATTACATGACAATCAGCAACTGTTTAGATAATTGTTTTTTATTTGATAAGAATTTTGCATTTTATAGCATAAATAACAGCAATTATAAATAAAATTTTGATGATGAGTTAATTAACTCTTTTTCCCCCAAAATTTTTTTTTAATTAAATCCCTTTTTAAGTGATTGCTTTTGTTTGCTATATCTTTTATGTTTGCTATATTTCGTCGTTAGTCCATCTTCAAACATTTTGTGACAAATCTTACTTTTTCTTCCTTGCAAGCACAGAATGTTAGTTTTGAATATATTCCCTTCCAGTTTCTCAGATGTTGATACTAATAATCGTCGTTAGAAAAACAGTCACCTTTATAGTAACTAATTTTAAAAAAATATTTTACTTCTTACAAGAATCGCGATAGTTGATCTTAAAATTGCGTGAAGATGAATAACAATTATGGATTTTGAAATCACATGAATATGAAACTAGATATAAGATTTTGAAAATGAAAAAATACAAATTGGGATATAGAATTTTCAAAACGTGTAAATACAAATCACGATTCATAATTTTTAGATCGCGTAAATACGAATCATGATGCGTAATTTTTATATTGCATAAATAAGAATTATGATGCATAATTTTTAGAATGTGAATTTTAATGTCTTATTTTTAAATCACATATAAATACGAAAATTAATGTTTGATATTATAACCGCATGAGCAAATCAAGACATTGAATTTTAAACTCGAGTGAATACGAATTGCTACATTGGTCTTAGAAAGACGTAAATACCAATCACAATATCGGATTTTTAAACCTCGTACAATATTCAAATCGAGTGAATAAGAATCGCAACATGCAACTTTTATATCACGCAAATCTGAAAAGCTATGTTTGATATTAAAATCGTGCCAGCCGATGGTCGAGTAATTAGCGTGCCTGACTGCAAGCCATTGGTTGCTGGTTCGAATCCGGCGCAGGGCATGGATGTTTCACTCTGTGTTTTGTTCTCTATTGTGTGAATGTGGCCCGCCCTGTAAAACAGGTATGTCGCAGTGTGGCGTGGGTAATGTCGCTCGCCACCGTGACTTAGGTTCACAGGTGCCCACTGGATAACGTTAAATGAGTAACATTTCTGGTGAAAACGACTGGAATTCTGGCGAAGTAACATTTCTGGCTTCTCGGTGAAAAACGTTAAAGTTCAGTGCCTGCCGTTAGGAAAATAATAAATAAATATTAAAATCGCGTGAATAAGAATCGGGATATTAGCAGATTCCAGGCTTGGGACCTCTTAACAGGCTTGTCAGAAGCAGCGTCGTTTGAACTACGAAAATCGGAGCTATCTGGCGGGCGGGTAAAAATGCGGAAAATCTCATTTGCTGCATGTAAAAGAGGAGAAAATAGCTAAAATAAGTAAAAATGAGGAAGGATTGGTAACTATGTAGTTTAAATTTTCTGTTTCTCTTTGAAAATCGGTGAATTTTCTGAAAAAGCGGAATATTTATTAAAAAATGTTAAATTTTTAGAAAATCTGAATTTCTGATAAAAAGCTGAAATTCAAGAGATAAAAGTGAAAAAGGCAGAAATCTGCTAAAAAGCGGAAAAATCTCATCCCTGAATAACAAAATGACCCAGGAGTAAAAGCTGTTTTGATGGGTTCTATTAATTAAAATTCAAACTTCATACTGCATTTGTAGTTCCACAGCAGTAAATCATAATTCACTTGCTCTTTATGAATGCTTTGCCATTTTTACCCTTTCAATGCTGGTTTTACTTAGGTATTGCACTTGAAGCTACTATGTTTATATGCAGACCCATTATTTGATCAATTGTGAACACCTGGGCAAGAAACATGAATGTTTGCTAGTATGTTGTTCTCAAAACTTTTAAAATAGTTTCATCTCTATGAAATCTTAAATTCTAAACGCTACATTATTTATCATAGCAAAAAAAGCGAAACGTGGATAATCAGGAGTTTACTTCATATATATAAGCATACTGGTTGCCGAAATTTAAGAACTGTTTATTATGTAAAGTTCAAGGGAACACCATTTCAAATGAGACACAGCAAGAAAAAAAATTGAATCTGTTAACATTTAGCTAGTTATGAAAGATCTTGATCAAAATTGTTTTATTTGTACTCATGTAAAATTAGCCAAGAATTTTTAATATCCCTTTAAGGCGATGAGTAAGCATTTGTCTTTGTCATGTAAATATGTCATTAAAAGTATGTCTCTTATTAATTTCTTTAATAAATTATCACTTAGGCATGCTATTTCATTTTCATTCAATTTGTTTCAATTTTGTTATAAAAATAATAATTTTTTGATTGACAAAAACTATATTTTAATAAGGTTAAAAAATTTCCTAAAAGTATCATAAGATTAAGAAACTTTGTATGGACAAATAGCATAAGTTCTTATAATGGCAATATTAATAAGAAATGCTAAATATTATAAGACTTAAATTAATACTAACGTCATGTTAATTTAGCACTTATTCTTAAACTACATTCACCATATATTCTTGAACTACACAATAAAATGGGAAAATATCATGATTCACAATTATTATCAAAAAAAGTAATAGCTCAAGTAGATTTACTCTTATATAGGTACTGCCTGAAGCTACATCTAAATAGGGATTTTTTTAAACAATTTAATATCCTTAATATTGTCTCAAACTTAGTTAAAAGTTTTAAATGTTTTTTTTACCTAATGCTACCTTGTCAGCTACCTATGTCACTTAAAATGGAAAAGGTTTATAAGGAAAAAATCTTTAGCACATTGTAACTCATTAGCTCGTGAATTAAATGGCAGAAGATAAAATAAAAAAATAACCAAGCTTCTAGAAATATATGTAGAAAAACAAACCTGCTGATAAATTTCCAATCTCCTGCTTGTTAAATTCATTGTTTCTAAAAGCTTCCTGTCTTCTTTTCCTAATGCAGTATTTTTTTGAGAAAGTGCATCTTCCTAAAAGTATGAATATGGTTATAATGTAATTCTTAGAAGTTATAATAAAAAGAAATCACCTTCACAATAATGAAAATTTATTATATTGATAATAAAAACTTTTACAATTAACAAAAGAAATTTGTAACAGGCAGATTTACCTAATCAAAGAATAAATACTTGAGTGTTCACTAATTCCTTAGAAAATAGTAAGATTATGTATAATATTTCTCAATATTTTTAAACATAAATGTATAGTTTACTTAACTAATTAAAAAAAACAAAAAAACAACATCATTATTTTGAAATTTATGTTTATGCTTAAAACTATGTATTCTGTGTTTCTTGGGTGACATTTTTCACACATTCCGTGATAAATCGATTAACTTATTTTAGAAGAATTGATTCTTTACCTTGAATGCATAACAAAGCAAAAATTAATTTTCAAAACACAATCACTTTTGAATTGGTGTTCAGTTCATAATCTCTATGGAAATTGTACTTTTGCATTAGATTCTTACACAACATTTTGTTGGTTATGTTGTATAAATATCCTATGCAACATTATTACATGCAACATATATTGGAATTATGATATTGAAATGTTTGTTTGAAGCCTGTTCTCTGTTGACTTGGATTTGACAGCACCACTACTATTTTTAAGAGCAGAACAAATGCCTGAAAAATTATCTATTGAGTAAGAAACAAACAAGAAATCATTATTGTAATATGCTTTGTTATTATTTTTTATTATTATCCAAACACAAACCTCTCTTTATCAGTGCTTTTTAATCGATTTAAAATAGAATAGAGCTAATATGAGATGAAAATTGATCTGTTTAAACTAGGTCATAAAAACAATTTTAAAACCTGTTTTTCTATCAGTTAATGTTTACAATTTATTGAGTATCAAACTATTGAATTGAGCTATAAAATATATATAATTTATGTAAAATAAAGAAAACTTGAATCTCATATAGTCCAATAAATGGTATCACATTGGCTCCAGACACTATCTCAAATTATCCATGTCACTTAAATACGATAATCTGTCATTCAAAATAAATTAAACAGATTCTTTGGTTAAATAGCTTAAAATACACACCATTAATTTTTAATAACATCCTATTAAAATCACTAACCTACATTTTTATTTAAATGTTAGAGGACAAACGTTTTAGGGTCTAACAGCAAAAAATTATGGAAAAATAATATTATTCAATGTACAGAATAATTTTTTGAAATATATTATTTGGATATGCAATGAAAATAGCATTGTCAAAATAATTACCAGGTTATAAAAGAATATATGCATAATGCATTTAAAAAAAAATATGAAGATGGACTAGGTAGTAATTTCAGCAGATTCTACAACAAGAGAAAGGAGGCTAAAAATTTCCAAAAACATTTTTATTTAATGCTTACTTAAATGGGCTCTTAATTAATTCAAGTTCAATATAGTTCCAATAGCAGAATTTTTTTGGGCTTTTGTGCGATAATTTTTCTCTAGTGCTAATACCTTTCTGAAAGCCATTTTTAATCGTAGCAAATATATATGTTACTAATTTAAAGTAAGAGAAGCGCTTTTTGTTTACAAAAAAAGTCTTCATGTATAGAATAGAACAGTATAGATTTTTTTAATTATAAATGTAGGAATGTTTTTTTTTATAATTTTATAACACAGTGACTTGATGCTGTGTTATATAAATCAAATTTTGTGATTTATATAACACAGCATCAAGTTTCAATGCCTAGACAGTAATATATTTTTTTTCATCAGATAGCTTAAGTACAATGCTATAAAGAATGTAATTCCTGAAGTAAAGCACATTTAGATAATGAACTGTATTAAATTTTTCAATGTGTTATAATGTTCATATAAAAGAAAACATATTCTAATATTGTTGGTGATTTTCTCCTGTTCTAAAAATATCAGTATAGTTAAATTTTTTTTTAATTTTCGCGATTTGGAAATTACGTTTTATAATATCAATATGAAATTCTAGCTAAAGCCAGTCATTGCAGAATTTTCTGATTCTCAAAGGAAAGTAAAAAAAAATTACGAGCGTTTCTTCCACCTCTGATGTGCGAGAAAAGCATTTTTTTACAATAGTTCTGCAGAAAAAAACATTTTGAAAATTCTGCAGATTAAAAAAAAAAGATAAAAATTGCTTCCCAAATAAATAATATTTCTGCAAGAACTCAGCAGTTTTCTGCGACAATGTCGATGCGTCTCAACGATTCTGCCACAGGGGAACACAGTTATATGAATTTGATTATTTAATTATTGTTCAATTTACAGACTTTGACAGAATTAAGTTTAATATAAAATTTAAATTTTAAAACACCTAGCAAAATTAATATGCACTACTTACTCGGTCTTTGGAATACTTTTCCTTAACTGAATGAAACCAATGAAGTGAATCAAATTCCTCATACAAATTTAACAATTTCAAGATGTAAGCCACACCTGTAAATTTAAATATTTTATGTAACAAAATAAAAATAAAAAAAAATTTATGGATTTATCAATACATTAAGTTGTTCTAAAGATATCAAAGTGCTAATGGAAATTTGTATAACAGCAAAGTTTGTTTTTTTAACCAAAAAATTCTGTATAATGTCCTTTTTTATCTGTTTCACAAAAATTTAAAATATTCAGTGAAAAGTTTAAAAATGCAAATTAATAAAGTCTGTATATATTATGTCTTTCCATTTTTTGAATAAATACAAAAAACATGAATTTTTAATTAGATTTTCACTTTTAAAAAGTATCAACAAAATACCTTCAATTTTAACTAGAGATGAAATATGTCATTTAATTACATGTTCAGTCTTTATGAATTATGAGGTATAAAAACTAAGACAATGCCATAGGAATAAAGTCAAATAAGGGTATTGCTAAAATCACAGAAAACAAACTAAAGAAGAAAGATAAATTAGATTTAGAAAAGAGGAAAAAACTTTTTATAAACATAAAAAATAATTTGCATTATCTATATTGAAAACATAATATTTAATTATATTTCCTAGAATGTTTAGTTGATAACCATTTCAATAAGAGATAAATTAACAAACAAAACTTTACAAAAAAACAAATTTTTGTAAGATTAACTAAAGAACCAGTCAAAAATGCCATCAGGGAATTGTTAAAATATTAAAAACAAATTTTCTATTAACCATTGCTATTTATTACCACAGTTATAATTATAGAAAAAAAATCTGAAACAATATACCCATAGCAAAACCATCATCTGTAAAAGCAGCTCCAACTTTATTTTTTCTTGAAAGCTTTTCTTTACTGGATATAGATTCCTCAACAAAATTTATTGTCTGAAAAAATAGATAGTATATTAATAGGGCTTCAATCTTTCAAAGAATTTTGTTTTAAGTTAGTCAAGAAATAAAATATAAAAAGAAATTATTACCAGAGGAGGTACAATGACAAAAAAATTTCTCATGTGCCCATTTTTTGGATCTCGGAAAGCAGGACCAAATGCATCAACCAAAAGCTATATATGAGAAAATATTAAAAAAAATTATTGTGAAGCAACATAATTTATAAAAATGCCTTATTAAAGTTTGTGATGAATCAGTGAAATGTAAACACTAACCTTGAAATACTGAGTACCTTCTGAGAAGTTTTTAGAGAGGTTGCTAATGACTGAATCAAGTTTTGATGCAGCTGATATTGTTTCTTCAGAAAGATTTTCCTCTTTACACAAGTCAGAGAATTCAATTATGTCATCTAGGTCAGGAATAAATCTAATAGCATTGCTGCAACAATGTATGCCTCCCGATCGAATCATCCTAACAAACCCCATAGCATTTCCTAAAAGCAAAAATAAAAAATTTAAAATTAAGCAATTTGATGGTTGCACAATCAAATGAGGAATGCATTTTCATAGATGCTACAAAAATTTTTATTAACAGAAACTGAATTTATCTGCAACTATCAGAAAAAGGTACCACAATTAATTGAATAATAAACATTAAGGCAAATGACAAATTTGATGCATAAATAAAAATTAACATTTTGGTTTAAAAAGAAACAGAATTGGGTTCTTAATATAATGCCGGAAGTAATTTAAAAAGTAGAACATTACACTAAAAACTGCTAATTTGAAATAAACGTCAAAAAAACAAAGTTTGGAAGAAGGCAGAGGATTCAGTAAAAATTTATACGCTGGTTTTTCATACATTTCATTATAATTTTTGAGATGAACACAAATGACAGTATTGACAAACGCATTTGTTTCTTAGAAAATCAATTGTGCCCTATCAAACCTCTATCTATCAATAATATTCAAAAATCTGTGCTTTTTATCTTTAAATAACAGATAGGATTTTATATATAGTTTGCCTATAATGGTAATAGTAAATTTTCAATCAACTATGTAAACCAATTGTTCCTGCACTTAAAATTCTGATCATTTTTAACTATTTTAACACTAGACATGAACAATTTGGAAAATGAATGAGAAATGCAGAATGAGAAATGCCAAACTGAATGAAATGCCAAACTGATTGGGAATATGTAAAAAATTTATTTCCTTAAAAAGTTTTCAGCTTAGAAAAGCAAAAAAATTCATATTATAGTTTGGCATATTTTTACTGAGAAAATAGTTTTATGAACAATTTTTATGTCAATTTTAGAAATATTAGTTTAAGAACGATTTACAGACACTGTCTGCCAGAAGAATAAGTATAGCATGCAATATAAAGGTACCATTTTTTTTTCATTTTTATTATTATTATTTTGGAATTTAAAAAAAATATATTTTTATTTCGTTTTCTAAACAAAAATTTTAATTTCTAAAAAATATATGCAAAAGAGTTAAGTCATTTTATACTATGTAAAGAACATACCTATTTCACTGATTAAAAGTCGAAACTGGTCCAAATAACTTTCGCCATTTTCAGTCAAGCCTAATTTACGAATTCCTCTGTGAAATTTCTCAGCTCTATCAAATGGATACTAGAAAAAAATTTTAAGTGAGGAATTGGAACACTCTTTTTTTCTCGTAATTAAATTTTCAACACAAATTAAGGTGCACTAAAATGGAATAACAAGGTGAACTTTGAATGAAATAGTGGTAGCAAATTTAAATTTTATATAGAATCACGTAGAAACGTAAACAATAACAAAAGTGGATAGGATAAATTTTAAAATTTCACTAATTGTTACCTTTTGACCATTTTGATTCTTGTTTTCTTTGAAATATCTTAAATCCTGTCAAAGGAGAAGAAATGTAAACAAAAATTATGTCACCAATTAAACTACACACTAATACTGAGTTAAAAAAATTTTAATAGTTCAATTTATTACCTATGTACAAAATTTTTTAGATCAATCTATATTAAAGGCAAAAAAAATAGTAAAAAAAAGTCACCTTTATTAATCTTGATTTGATGTGCTCATCATAAAGAAATTGGGAAAATATCTGGAACTTTTTCCTCAGAAATTGGTAAACAAAATTTACCTAAAATTAAACAATAACATCATGCAACTTCAATTTTAAAAATTAGTATCATACCAAAACAATATTTAAGTCGCTTACTGTTGTATTCATAACACCTATTCCATGAGTACGTATAGAATTGGCAATGTGGCGAATATTTATAGTATTCAAATGCTTATTATTACTTGAGCGTTCAACAAATATCTGTAAAAAAAATAAAAAATATAATAGACATAGAATATAAAATCTAATTACATTATAGTCAATTAATTCATTTAAATTGAAATCATACTTTTGATAATCAAATATAATCTTCATAAAAGAAAATATAACAAAACATTTTACGCCACCAAATTATAAACAAATGACATTAAATAAATTGCAAAGAATTTTCACTAGCTTTACCAGCAACTTCCAACAGCATTATTTTGTTCTGAAATTCAAACAAAAATTTTATTCATGATCTGTACTTCATAAAATTTATTCGCATACCATACCTGCCAACTCTTCCGGATTTTCCGGAAGATTTTATTTTCATATTTAAAGTGGTAGCAATACTCACGTTATTCCATTTAACTTTTTGAATTATAATGATAATCACAGATGAGTTTGACCACCACTACATATAAATCATTACAATAAATATATAAAAGCATTATAATCCTTGCACAAGCGAATTTCAACAGGATCAAAATATAAAGATATTTTTGAGTCAGATTGATTTTCGTTTATTGTATTACAACCACTCTAAAAATCCATTCTCGGAAGGAGTGAAAGTTGGCAGGTATGGCATACGGTGTAAAAGAATGTTAAAATAATATCAAGCATGTGTTAACTAGAACTATTTCAAGCCACTTCCTGTTCCTTTTAAAATCATAATTTTAGTCAACAGCCAGATTTTTATAATTCCCAAATAAGTAGCTGACTTTAAATGGCACACTCTAAGATACTTATAATGCTGTACTAAACATTTCCTTTTCCTCATTAAATCCAAAACCTTGTTAAATATAAGATCTTTATAAGCGGATCCTGCAGTAATAAATTACCATATGTTTTAACAAAAGAAAAAAACAACACCATTCATTGAGAAAAGTGTTAAGAATAAGTAAAATACAACAATAAGAAAAATGTTAATATGTTAAATGATGGCTATAGCTTAGTAATAACTCTTCAGAAAATGGTAAATTACTCTATAGATTAAGATGAATAAATAATGTGTACAGTGAAATAGTGAAGAAGCTTTACCTGATTATTGAGATTGTAGAGGTAGTTTGATACAAATAAATGAATATTTCGCATAATTTCAAGTACATCTAAACCCTAAAATGAGAATTATTAAAAAATGGAAGAACATTAAGCTTCAAATAATGATTTAAGCAGAAAAAGTGTAGAACCTTTAAAACAAACCTGTTCTAAAGTTTGACTAGGAAGGTGGGCATCAACAGTTTCTAAGCGATACTTATGTGAAGCTAAGCTCCTCATTTCACCATATGTTTTCCAATCGTGAAGGGCAACAGTTGTTAAATTATAAAATATTTTGTCAAGATAATGTTCTACATAAGCTGGAAAAGAATACTTGCATCAAAAAAAGGAAAATTATAAACATAGACCACACTTTTTTGAAAAATATATTTTATAATTAAAATGTATAAATGCTATTCCCTATTGAAGACTTAAATTAAAGCAAACAAGTTCACAGAGTTCACCCATATTCTCACATTATATAAAATATTCTAGTGTTTTAATTTTATTAGTTTTTCTTTCATAACATAAAAAAAGGCATACAAATAACTGTAAAAACAAATGTTAGAATTATTTTTTAAAAAAAAACTTCAGCCATTCAAACAAAACGGGATCATTTTTAAAATTTAGTGTCACTCAAAAACTGGAAAAAGAAAAAACACCTTTTTGCTACAAGATAGGGTATAAATTTTTAAAATACAAAAGCAAATAAACTTATTTATTATTTAAATGTTTTTCATATTTTTTTTAGTACTTTAAGTCAATACATTTTTGGTTAGATATGATAAAGATTGACATGTCTGTTGCCATAATATCTATTATTTTTACATATTCCGGACAAAGATATTTCATGCATAATTTTAATAATATTGAATGCAAGCAAAGTCAAATTTTTAAAAAAAAAAATTTTTAAAAACTTAGTAAAAAGAATCATGTCTGTAAAAGAACGAAAATTCAGAAAACTGTATTTTAATTCTTAAAAAAAAACTTTATATTTTATTTAGGCTAAAAAATTAATAAGCTAAACTATTTTCAGTTAAATAAATAAATATTTTTTATACAAATAATTATGATAACAGACAAGGCACAGTAAAAAAAAAAACTCTTAAAACCTTCATCAACCAAACAGAACGTTCAAAGTAGATGATTTCCTCTTGAAACAGTCTTCAAAGATAAATAATTGTTATCATCCATTAATTCCAAATGTGTTACTTAAAAAACGTAAATAAGTGTTGCTAAATATGACATCAATTTAAGGACAGCAGTACTTAGTTAAAAAAAAAAGCTTACATTTTTATTAGTTGATTTTTACAATCTTTATAGAATCTTTTTAGAGTATTTAATACTTAAGTATAAAACATAACAGACTAGAAGAGAAACATTTTAAGGTTTAATTAAAGAACCACTATACTTTAAGTTCCCTCAAACTTAACACCTTAGATACTATTTTTCTAAAATGCGATCAAAACTTATTAATAAATATTATTGTGAATACTATTTTCTTCTTTCTTCTTAAAATTTTATATTTTTGAACATGGAAAGTATCTACAAATGTTCATTTAATACACAACTTTAACAAATAATAACTTTAACAACTTCAAGATAAAAATATTTTTCAGACAGACACCAAATGGCACTAAATTATGAAAACGACTCAACAGCATAAAATATAAAAACACAGTAAAAGGAATTCTATGAATAATAATAGAACTATAAGCTGCAAGTGTAAGATTTCTTTCTCTCTTTTTGGAGACTTATATATTTGAAATAAAAGGTGGTTATTTTTTCCTTATGAATTATAAATTACCAAAACATTTATTGTTTATCAGTTTAATATTCAAAGATTAATACTTAAGCCTCATTTATAAAAACAAAATATATGAACTGATTGAGATACTTACACTTAACACTAACAAAGTGGTTAAACAAGTGAAGAGATGAAAGTCTGAAAAGATAATTAAACTCTTTTCTGCCAACTTTGAATGGGTTTCTATCATCTAATTGCAAATGATAATGGCAGTGTAAACGGAGCTCAGTTTCAACATCACTACAGAGAGGATCAAGCAAATGCTAGAAAAATAATATTGAGATCAAATCAACTTCAGATTCCTCATTATATTACAATAGAAAAGTTATAGATTTTAATTTCAATGTTTTCACTGCAACACCGACAAAAATGTACCAAATAAGGGTGAAAGCTGTAAAACTTTTTTATATGAACATGATATTTGCGTATAATCTAGTGAAAAAAATCGTTCAGTAAAAATCAATAATGTGCTGTTTAAAAATATTTAACGTAATAAACAATCTTCAAAAGTTAATAGAAGGTAAAGAAAGGTAGAGGAAAGAATTGTAATGAATAATTGAAGAATTAGATTTTTGACTTAATTAAATCAAAATTACTCCAGTTATTCTAGAGAGAAAAAATATAATTTTTAAAACAAACACTTATTTTCATATACAGAAGATATAGCATAAATTTTATTCATTCTTAAATAAAAAAGAGAATATTTATTTTTCTTAAAAAAATATACAAATTAAATAACTATTCCTTTATCAGACATAAACACTTTTTGTCTTTTAAAACTTAATTTCTCTGAATATCTCTCAATTTCTCTGCATTCTTTTTTCCTCATAGATTCAAATTCTTAATCTTCAAAGTGGGTAGCCCTAATCTGGAAAATATGGCCGCAGTAATTTATTGTCATAATTTATTGTAGGATTATTTTAATTAAAATATAATTTAATATTATTTTTTAACAATGCATTTTAATAATGAGCAAAACATTTTCAATTCTGAACTATAAAAATTTTTACATCATTTCAAGCTAAGTAATTTTGAAAGAGAAAAATCCAAAGTTCAATTAGAATCAGTCAAAAAGTTTATAAGCAATAAATTTCAAAAAAGTCTAATTTTATATATTACTGATTAAGCCTAAATTTTGGATTTCATCATTAAAAACTACATAGTTTAAAATAATGCAAAAATTTATATATCATACAATTCAAAAATTATACATAAAAAATTATTCTGTTTTATAATACAGAGAAAGTTACGAAAGTTTGAGTTTGACTATGAGTCACAAAAAGTTTTTTGATTTGCTTGAATAGTTTTATAAATACAGTGAACTTCAAAAAAATATCAGCATTAAGGGGACCAAACTTACGACTGCCATTATTTTAAGATACAATAATCCAAATCCATTGGAAGAAAATATACCTTTATTCAGATCAATGTAGTTTTTGGCTTTAAATAATTGGCATCGTTAAAATTCACCTTTCAAAACATTAAGATTGCTTGTCAATTAGTTAAGTTGAAATAACCAGATTAAAAAGTATTCAATTGTTTCATGCTACCATATATAATATACAGGTATATTGATATTGCAATTAAATACGTATGAGTCATTTCTATTAACATTTGTAAATATAAGAAATTTATTAAAACATAATTTAATCTTTCAAATGTCCTTCTAAATTTTGATTAGTCACTATTAATTATTTAGAATTAGATAAGAATTTTGCAATTTAATAAAAAGAGCATGCATTAATATACTGAAAATAAAAATATATTCATGCGATCATATGAAATATTTGCACAGCACTAGTTGGAAAACTGTCAGATGAATAACAGCAAATAATATGTGGCATCTGAATGCAAATTACAAAATAGTCAAAACTGACTTTAATAATTTTAATTCTTATCAAACAAGTTAGGTACTAACAATAGGATTATAAAATGATAGCAATAGTCTATATCAGTCTTCAAAAGCAATTTCAAAATTTGTCATAAATCTTGATATTCATTTTTGCTTTGCTTTTTATTGTTATGCTTCTGTCTTATCGTTACTCAATCTTTCCCATTACTACATATTTTCATATTAGGGGTCTGTTTATGAAAGTAAGCTTGCTTAAAAAATATTTGTTTTGCAATATGCCGAGTATAATTATATACATAATTTCAAAAATATATCTTTGGCAGCCAATTTTGAAGCAACTGTAGCTTTTGTCACAAGAAAATAAAAATTACATGAAACAGTAATAGTTCTACCTCATATTATGAGCGGTAGCATAGTGATAAATAAATTTTAGGAGAAATTAATTTTATCGAAGTAAATTCCCACAATGTATGCTTGAAAAATAATTTATTTTAAACAAATTTAACATGGTTTACATAAGAAAATTTACTTGTTTTCTTAAGATTTCAATTTAATTATTTTATATTTAAAATATTAAGCTCTAGAATGATTGTGGGGAATGCAATGTTCCCAAAACGCATCTTGGATTAAGTTTTCCTATTCATTAGAAGACCCTCTGAAATTTCATAATATATAGATTACTTCATAATATATTGATTATTTTTAAAATAATTAATAATGTTTATAAAATGAATAGAATACATGATTTTGTAATTTATAACATATGAGACAAAAAAAAATAAACTTAAGCTAATCTTTATGCAATTGTATTTAAGCAATGAATTTTTTACAAAAATGGTTTTAAACCATTTTTTTAATAAAATTTTTGAAGGCATGTATTAATAAATTTAATTAAAGCAATAACCAAATTGAATTTTTTAAAAATTTTGAAATTTATGTGCATCACATCATTGTCTACTTTAATGAATTTTTTATAAGTTTTCAAAAGAAACTTTAAAAACATCTATATTTTAATTTTAAAAAAAGATATTTACTTTCTCAATCAATCAGTTTTTTCTTTTTTTCTTTTTTTTTTGTTACCTTTTCTAAGTGTCTTTAAGAAACTTCTTCTTTATTACCTAATTTTTTATTTTAAATTATCATAACAAACTTATTAACTACTCAGAAATTATTGCGACTTGTAAACAAATAGAAAAATATAAGATGAACTAACTCTATGTTTTCTGTAAAAACAAAATAATAACTAATTTTAAAAAAATGGATATTAATAATGGACTATATTTTTAAGCAAAAAAGTTGTTTGGAGAACAAAGGAAATGAAAAGTGAACAATTAATTCATTAGAAAAATGTTCGAATTATGAACTTTCTTCCAGTTTTAAAGAGAAAAAAACTTTCAAATACTAACTTTCTTTATAGTAAGGTAAATTTCCTTCTGAAATGCAAACAGCAGAGCTTCAGGAGTAGATTCATGGCGAGATGATAATATTGACCGGACACTGTCATGCAATGCTAATACCATATACTGGAAAAAAATCCTTATAAGTGAAACAAAACTACATCAATATTTGTAAAGTTTCAAAGCGAATATACAAAGCAAAACAAAGCTAATATAAATTACTAAATAATAAAAGAAAGTTGTTGTTTTTTTTTCCATTATACACATTGACATCACATATACCACACAGATTCTACAACGTTACATATTTCAAGTTCAGATACTCTATAATCCTGATCTTAGAAGATAATCAATATGCATCATTTGTCCAAATAAAGTCATATACTACTTATGGGTGTAATTCAAAACCTCTTCCCCCCCCCACATTTTCCTCTACTCAACTTCAAAGATGAGTCAAACTTCTGATTTTTTCCTTTATCGATCTGGTTCAAAATGGTGGGGGATAACAAAGCAAAATTTTTCCCGTTTTTCTGGATTCCAAATAAATGGTTCAATATTGTATAAAAATTGTATAATAATCATTGAGGTCTTATTAACTAAGGAAGAAAAGAAAACTAGAAATAATTTTTTAAATTTTAGTCATTATATTTTGATATTGAATGCTCAACATACGTTTAAAAACATAAATTTTTTTAATTTGAAAGTATTTAAAAAAAAAAATTTATTTATCTAAAATAAAAAACTTATTAAAAATCCGGAAGACAAAATAAAGAAAATATATAATCTTTTCAGCTGCTCATGCGATTATATCTGCAAAAAAGAGTGATAAATAAAAAAATTTGATAAATAAAACATAAAAATAATTTTAAAAAAAATATTCTGAAAAAAAAATTTTTTTAATTTCTTTTAAAAAAAAAATTTATTAAAAATCCGGAAAACAAATAAAGAAAAGATATCTTCCTCAGCTCACACGATTATATCTGCAAAAAAGAGTGATAAATAAACAAATTAGACATTTTTAAAAATAATTTTATTTTATTTATTATTCTCCTTCTCTTGTCATTAATCTTTATTATTTTCCATATTTCAACTTATTTTATGAGTTCTATATGCTTGCAGCTTATGCGCAGTTAATAAAACTTATTAATTTTCTTCGTTTTTCCCTCTTTCCTCTTTATTGTGTTATATCTTTTCTCTTTATCATTTTAGTCTTTATTGTGTTACATATATAATATATATATAGAGAGAGAGCATTAAAGAAATAACAAAATCTACATGCCTGTATAAGGTTTGATCGTGTGTCAGTGCCATTGTCATACAAATCAGCAACATAAGTAGGGAAAACAGCACGATGCCAATACAAAAAACTGCAGTCAGAAGCATCCTTTAACCTGAAATAAATTTAGTATAAATATTTTTAATTAGCAAAAATAAGTTTCAAAAAGAAGATGTCAAAAAATAACTTGAAAAGTATAAGCTACAAAAAATTACTTCCTAAAAGAGCACTTTAAAAGTGATATGAGTTTTAAAACTTATTAATTTTTGCTAATAAAACTGGTGGGCTCAAGATACATGGTAGCAAAGTCCTTCAATTAAGTTATATATAATATCTAAACAAAATCAAGAAAAAAGTAACTAGTAATTTTAAATATAATTTACTCTTATAAGATTTTCAAGTAATCTCTAAGATTTTCAAGTAGTTAAAATATAAGAAAGATATAATTTTTCTAAATGTATAAATTAAAAAAAACTAGATATACATACTGTAATTTTGCAGAGATACACCATGGGGGTTATTTTTTATAATTATTAAACCTTGGTATGGGCAGAGTATGTAATGGGGCAGCCTATACAGTGTTCATTTTTTTTTATGACTTGAGCTAGAAAATCCAATTTTGTTCAATTGATTCTCCAAAATTCCATTATTATTCTTCATCCTTCTATCTTTTGTAAGGATCCATTTTTATTAATTTACAATCATGAATATTTAAAGAATTAACAATGCAGGTGAAAAACAGTTCGCCAGATTGCAACAATAGTGCAACATACGCTCTTCCCTTCAACCAAAAAAATCGTTGATGAATTCCCTTCTCGCCATCACCCCTGGAATAGTCTCTTACAGAGATCCACGGAAGTATGATTCCCCCTCCTTTATTCTGCTGCATGTGTGAAGTAAATAAGTAAAAGAAAAATATGCAAGTCATTTAAAACAATGAGCGGGCTAAAATGCTTAAATGATCTATTTAAATGTCAAGTTTATCCCCAATTTCAGATGAAGGTCAATTTCATTGTTTTTACTCTTGGAAATATAGGGTTTCAAAATTTAGAGATGTTCAAATAAAATGATGCAGCATGATGAGCATGTGGATAAAAGAGGAATGCACAAACTGCTTTTTACTATATATTTAATGTTTATATTAACAATTTTCATTTATTTATAACTCAGACATTATAAATTAATTATAAAATAAATAATGCGTTCACGATCATTTCATGCTTTAATTTCGCGCAATTATTTGTTTATTTTTATAACGCTTTCTTAAAAAAATTTTTAAACTTTTCTAGCTGTTTATCATTTGAGTGGTTAAAATTTTAGAAATTTAATATTAGTAAAAAAAATGGGATGCGTTCATGATTGTTTTGTTGTACTATTTTGAGCCAAACAAGATTTATTTTACTTTATTTAATTATTAATAATATTTTTTGAATTATTGTTATGATTTTTAGCTGGGTTTAATCATTTAATTTTATAATATTTAGGTATTTCAAATCAAATTTTGATAAAGTCCCGTGATGTGATCAGCAATTGTTCTAGACGGTAAAATTTTGCACCTAAAAAGATTTTTTTCAGCAATTTATTGTATTTTGATAACTTATTAAAATTATATTTAGATTCTTAATCACTTGGTTTACATAAAATTAGAGTATTTTAAATTTGTATTTATTAACGAAATGCGTTTGCGCTTGTGTCACATTTGAATTGCAAACAATTGTTCACTGTACAATTTTGCATACATTTGGAAAGTTATGATGAAAATTATTAAATTACATAATTTCTAACAAGATCACATATTAATTTATCACACATTCAGTCATTATTTTAATGACTTTCAAATGTCTAAACATTTATTTTATGTATATAACTTGTTATTTGAAACAGATGTGTAAACTTTGTGACCAATTGCAATAAAATTTTGTGCAACCTATCTGATGGTGTGGCCTTTCTGATGAAAAACATTTCCTTTATAGTCAAATTTTATGGGTTTGGCATACATGCCAGGGCTGGGTATCTTAACGAAATTATGGTATTTTTATTTTATAAACTACTAATCATATATAGAATATACGTTACAAACCATAAAATATACAAGGGGTGAATAAATAACGCTTATTAAATACATGTATATAAAAGCATTTTAATCATGTCTTAGTGCAATAAAAATTATTACAGCATGCAACATAAAAAGTTTATACTAACTTTTCTTTTAAATCACACAAGAAATCAAGTTTTTTCACCACATTAAAAAAATTGGCCATTTCATCATCTTTAAATGAGTTCTAAAATAAATGCATACAAAACAATAAGTATATTCATTTGTCGCATGATACTGAGCAAACATTAATGAAATTTAAAATAAGTATTAAATAACTTTTTTTATGTTATGTGAATTTGGATAGAAAAATATTAATAAAGATGTTTGTAACCTAGCAAGTTTTAGCTCTATATTTTGACAACTAAATGTGCAATTTAAAATCTTGTTCTACATATAATTTAAAATTTTTAGATAAGTTTAATTTCAAGCAAAAGGTTAAATTTATTATTTATTTTAGCAATCATAGCAAAATATTTTAATAATGAAAAAAAAAATTTAACATGTTACTTTTTACATACACTTTTTAATGCTAAAATTACATTTTCAAAAGACAAAAGTAAGGTAGCACACAACAACATTTTTATAAAGTAAAAATATGGTAGTGTACTACTTTTCACTTCAAAATAGACAACTTTCAAAAACAGACATTCTATTTTCCAGGCAAAATTTAAAAAAAAAAGTTATTAAATCTTAGGTAAAGAAAAGATATAGAATAATAAAGAAAATATATAAAATAACAAATTTAAAAAATATCAACTGCCATTTATTTTGTCTTAAATATAGATACATATTCTGTTTCAAACTTCACTTAGAAGTGATTATATCTATTTAGAAAATTTCATTGCATAGAAACAGTAATCATTAAAATAAATTGTATTGATTTTATTGTATCACTAAAATTAAATTATTTTACCATGAGAATTTTTATGAGAATACCATTCTGAATTTTAGTGTACACATTCCCATTAGCACAAAATTTTCATTTTAAAAAGTAAAAATATTTCTTTTCTATTTTACATATTTTACCAACATAACTTTTGAATCAATATATTAACAATGCATAATATTATTTATCAAAAGTAATGTAATCTTATTAGCCAGAAAGAGTCTATATGCAATAATATATCAAAACATATTGTTCGTAATGTAACATTTGAACTATGTTCAACATACCCTTAGAGAAATGGATGTCACAAAATATATTTTTTTTCTTTTGCAGAAGAATTGAAAATTAAAGAAAGCTTTCACGTATCATAAATTTATAAATTCAGCATAAATTTATCACGGATTCATTATTCGTTAGTTAAAGTAGCAATCATTCATTTCTAGTAGGGATGAAATAGTATACAATAAATAATGTTATTAATAGAAATTTATGATTTTGATTTATCTTTTTTTTTCTTTTTTTCTGATTTTAGTCAGTTTCAAATAATATTTATTAATTTATTTTAAAACAATAATGCTAGCGAATCTAAACAGCTTAGATCTGGCATACCAAATGTGGTAGTTAACTATAACCCAAGAAGATTCCAATAAAAATGATTTTCTTTTTAAATTTATTTCTTTTCTTTTTTTCTTTCTTTTTTTTGGTTACTTATCTCATTTTATCATAAATTTCTTCTCCAAACTCTAGAATAGCTTTAATATAGATTTCAGATTCAAAATATTAAAAAAAAGAATTATTAAATTTATTTAAATAGATTTAAAAGAAAACCTGAAAAAAAACTTTCTTAATGAAACCTATACAGAATTACCATTAAAATATTTTTAAATAAATAGGATTGAGAAAAAGTTTTTTAATTATCTGTTTCAAAAAAAAAAATTAAATAAAGCTAAAAACCATGTTATATGGTCAAATTGAACAATCTGACATGTATGGAATAACATATTTAAGTATTGCACATACATACATATATATATACATACATACATACACATACATACATTATATATATATATATATATATATATATATATATATACAGTCAATTCGCTATAACTCGAAGTACGATAACTCGAATATTACTATAACTCGATTTTTTTGTGAGGTCCCGACCCTTTTATCTTCAATTTCATGTTAATTATTCTCGATTACTCGAATTTTACTCCCTTTAACTCGATTTTTTTTTTTGGATCTCTTAAAGCAAGAAAAAAAACCTAGAAGCTGATATCTTGACCCTTCCTTTGCAACACACGCACAATGTCTTTCGCACTCTTCATGGAGAAGCTAAAGCTGTCCCTTTTGAAGTATGTGAACAGTGGTTAAAGGAAACGTTACCAAATTTACTTCAAGAATACAGTGAAAATGATGTTTCAATATTGATGAAATGGGTTTATTTTTTAAATGTCTTCCAAATAAGACTATGATGTTTAAGGATGTAAACTGCTCAGGGGGTAAAATGAGCAAGGAACGTTGGACTGTCCTAGTCTGGGACAGAGAAATTGCCCTTACTTGTTATCGGAAAAAACCGAAATCCCCGATGTTTCAAGACCTTTGGATTACAAGTCTAACAAAAAGTTTTGGATGACATCAGTTTTATTTGAAGACTTTGTAAGAAAATTGGATCGGAAATTCTTCGCTGAAAAAAGAAAGTGATACTCTTTATGAATAAATGCACATCATATAGTGATCTACCTACAGTTTCTCCCGCCAAACACAACAGCAAAGTTGCAGCCGATGGACCAGGGCTTCAAGCAGTCTTATCGTAAATGGCTTGTCAGAAAAATGATCTTACATATTGTAAGTAATTAAAAGATTTATAATTAATAAGCATTATTTAAATAATCCGACAATATTTTGAAAGCCCAAAACCGAAACTAACGGTAAGTCGAACTTCCGATATGTCGAAGTTTTTCGTCAGTCCTATCAGATTCGAGTTATCGCGAATTCACTGTATATATATATATATATATATATATATATATATATAAAGAGAGAGAGAGTTTAAACTAATATGAGAAATGATAAAAAACACTTTACATTAATCATAAGATTAGTGTTTTGCGATTTTATTGTATTTTTTGTTTAAATTCTTAAATAAAAGCCCAATAACTATGACTTTTTTGTCTTTAAATACTAGCAATTTTTTTAGAAAAAAAGATAACTGGAAATTCAAAATTTTTGAAAAAAAGTAATATATGCTATGAAATAAAAATCTATGTTGCTTAATTGGAAAAATAATTAAGATAATTAATTTTTAAGAATGAGGTTTGTAAACTAAAAAGTTTAAGAAAAAACTTAAACAGCTATAACAATGCTCAACATTTTGTTAAATTTTTCAAAAACAACTAATTTCTGAAATCCATACTCTTTGAAGCTTTTGACCCAAATAAAAACATTTTAATTTTAAAAAAAAATCCAATTTTCAACTATGTCCTCCTATTAACTGAAATATGAAATAAAAAAATAAAGCTACCATTTGCACTCCTAAGGACATAGCCAAATAAGCAACCAGCCTTCTTTCTTTTGTACCTGCAAAAAAATTGCAAATTTTAATTCACACTTAATAATCCAATAAAAATAATATAAAACTTAACAAAAGCTTTTTAATTCATTCTTATGCAAAGCTCTAGGCAATAATTTTTATTTCATTTCAAACAGCACATTAAAATACAATTGAATACCAAAAAAGTAAATAAATCTATAAATGAGAAGAGCAGGACATAGCAATATTTAATACTAAATTATTTTTAAAACTTTTGAATGAGTTAAAAACAATCAATTTCTCCAAGTTCAAAGGGGAAGAAGTTGAGAAACTTATTATTAAGTAAGATGGATCTGTCATTACTAATGTTTTTCATCATTACATGAAATAATTTCACTGCATTAAATGTAATCTATCATACATATTGAACAATTCTAACAATATGCACATAATATATATATATTTATTTATTAATGTCAAAAAAATACCCTTGAAAAAATTATGAAATGTTTTTAAATATTATGATCGAATTCAACAGCTTACCGAATTTATAAAGGAACTCAAAACATAAATATTCATTCAATTTGATATTTTAAGGAATTGCATACCTGGACCATTCAAAGATTTTTCAGCTAGTACTAGAGCAGATAAAACATCGAGTCTACGTTCACTATACTTTTTGTCAGATACTAATCTTTTCTGTAACAAAATAGGTACATTAAAATATATCTTAATTTCTGAAGCCTAAATAAAAACATAACTTTCAATCAGAAAATAAACATTCATGATATTTTAATGTAATTAGTTTAGTAATTTTGTCATTGATAAACATAATCAAAATAACAAAGATGCAGTAGAGTAAAACAATAAAATTTTTATCATAAAAGCTAAACTAAACTCAGAAGTGCAACCGCCCAAGGAGGACCAAAACCTACTGAACCCATTCGGTTTTCTTGACTTCTGGGCTCTGGGGCTCAGCAACAAATTTTATGATTGAGTTGTCAACCAAATGTGGAATCCTTAGTGTTTCATCCCCAAGCACGATTGGTACTCATTTTATCAACTAATTGAAACGATGAAAGGCTGAGTCAACCTTACTCGGTCAGAGGATAGAACCCAGGACTTGTGACGCACTACCACTAAACCATCAGGCATCTATTATAAAAGCTACGCTATTATAATTTAGATTTTGTTAAACCTGAATTTTAAAGAAAAACCAGAAAAATAATCTAAAGCCGAACTCCTCAAAATGTTGATTTTGGGTCAATACCAAATATTTCGCTTTTAAATATTGAAATGTCATTTTTTCGTATATATAGCTGCATTATAAAATACAAATGACAAAACATTCTGAATTAAAGTACATTTTTCACACTTACTAATAAATTAATAAATTTTATTTAATGATAAAAACTTATAAATGTTTATTTTATTTTTATTACTAAAATTTTGATTAAATTGATAATTAAGAATTTCATGCATAAAAAAATCCTAAAAAATTTATTTTCTTTTTGAAGGTCTAGTAAATTTAAAAAATTAAACCACCTTAAACTGATTGAGCATTGAAACTTTCTTTTAGAAAATAGACTAAAAGAAGACAAGAAGTTTTGCACAGCAGTTATTATTCTTTATAGACTAGGACCAGACATACTCCCTTCATAATGTTTTCAGTCTAGTTTACAAGTACAGAAAACTCTGATTGAATGATTTCTTAACTTGTTTAGTTCACAGAACATATTCTGCTTGTAACAAAGAAGAACATAATGAATATGCTGTATTGGTTAATGTAAAATACTTTTTTACACTAAGTATAAATGAACAAGTAAATCCACAGACATGTAAAATTGCTGAATATTATCTGGACTTAACCCTTATTTTAATTTTTAAGATATTCTTCTGATAATACTTAAATTATTTGATATTTTCAAATAGTTTAATCTAATAACCATGTCACATATATAGAATTATATTTATAAGATAACAATATAAAACATTTGATCAAACAATTACCTTTTCTATTATCATGTAAGCAGTTCTAATGTAAAATAATAGACTGCTAGCTTGTCAAACATTTTTAAATAATCTTGGTTAAGCATTAATTTTGTGCACTATTGAGATATTTTAAGGAGAAAGAAAATACTTTGTAAATTGAAGTGGTGAGAAAGGAAGAAGACATGCAACAATTTACAAAATTAAACTTATTATTATAAAAAAAGCTACAGATACCAGTTAACTTTGTTTTAAAACACTGCCAGAATAGTTATATATGCTTGATTAGCAAACACTTTTGAATTTCACCAACCAAGTATATGACACTATGAAAGACATTAAAATTAATCATTTTTTAAAAAAAATTGTGTCACATACTTCCTTCTTTCTCTAACCCTTTCAGTTAATGGTTGATCGAATTTTGAAAATTAAAAACTTTATGATTTCTTTATACTTGCAGAACTGAAACACAGGACTAATGAATTTTTTTTCTTTTTTTTTTTACAAAATTTTTAAAATTAAATATAAGTAATTCTTAAATCTAAGGATTGGATTGAAACGTACATAAAATACAAATAGTGATATGAATTATTGCTAAGATAAAATAAGTCACTTTTATTCCCTTTCATCTTCTATCTTTTGATACTTAAAATTTGAAAAGAAATAAGATTGATAATTGCTCCTTCTTTTTCTCACCTTAAAAAAAATTTTTGAAAAAAGAACATTTTTATATGTTAAAGAAGTATCTTAACTTTTGTTTTCAAAAACACCTTTTGAGTAAGCAAAACTTATAAATGCAATGTCAAAATATTTAAAGTGTCATTCAAAATTCAATTACATAAGGTTTTAAAATATATATATAAGATTATAGTCAATATTACTTATAATTTTAATTATTTAAGATTATAGTCAATATTATTTTTATTAACACTTTTTAAACCAGTTTCACAATTAACCCCTTCTTTTTCGCTCCCCTGAAATTGACGGGGTGAGGTTTCACCCTCTTTTTCTCAGTCCTGTGATATTTCCGGGCTGGAGTGTTCAGTAGTAACAATAAGAATAAAACTAATTCATTTATTTTGCCCCGGAAAAATTTTATTTATAATTTTACACACCAGATGGCAGTACCAGGATATTTTTAAGGTAATTGTAAATAGTTCTCCAGAAGAGATGAAAACAATAAGAGATGTAGGAAGGAAACTTGGTACTACAGTTCAGATTGTGACATTGTCCTCTGTATTTCATGCTTTGAAATTTATCACACAAGAAAAAATTACCAATCTTTATTTATTTTATACGTAAGTTTAATAAAATTCCTTTTTAATCTTTAAAACACATATTTTTTAAATTTTCCTTGCTTGCTGAAAACCAACATTAAGTCATAGTTGTTGGTTTTTCCTAAAAATGTTATTTTTTAAAATTTCATGCTAAAAACAAATCAAAAATTAAAAATGAAGATATATATTGTTCATACACATATTTTAATATAATTTTCAGGGATAAAAAAATAGGCACTTTTATGACCGCTTTCTTGAAAATTAACCGATCGTTAAGGGATTAACTGGGTTTGCATTTTTTCTTTCACAAATATGATTATCTGCTAAAACATAGATAACTATCACACTTTCCTGGACTACCACATAGAATTTATATTACTTCTTGTAGTCATGAGCTGCTACAGCTCAGCGGTTAAAAGCACTGGACTGCATTATAAAGAACTAGAGTACGACGGCTGATGATAACTTGAACAAAGGAGTAACCCAGCTTCAGATTGATAGATACCAGCTTGTCTGGGAAGAAAAGACAACTGGTGCAATAATGCTGACAACATTGTTACCACCATGCCGTTGGTCACGAAATTGTGGAATCTTAATCTCCAAGACCCCTTTGGCCCACAGTGGGATGTCGCGCAAATGTTTTACTTAACTTTGTAGTCAGAGAGTAAATTAGGTAGTCTCTTCATCAATGTGTTGGAAATAAAAATATATTCTATATTTCATTACAGGTTATTCAGGTTTGAATAACAACTATTCTAGATTTGTTGACTCAGTTATTTTTAAAAATATATGAATAAATATATTCTATAAACACCTACCATTTAAAAATAATCTAATTATATTATACTGAAAATTTTAGTTTATTATCAGCTGAAAATCTTATACAAGTTTTGCTTAAGTTTATTTTTACTTAAAACTATAAAGATAATATAACATAATGGCTTTCATTTAGCTGTACATAAAATATAAAAATCAAATTTTCATTAGAGTTAAGAATTTTTTTAAATAAAGATTTACAAAACTTAAAATAGTTCATACCTTTCCAATGTTGATTATTGTTAAAGCAAGGTGTGCTAAATGTTGTACAATATGAGTAATTGATTCATTAATAACAACTGAATGACGGTGGAATGTTCCTTCAATTCCCTATATTAGAAAAAAAATTTATTTGAAATTTAAAAAAAAAGCAGTTTTAATAGCAATTTATAAACAGAAAATAAAAATCGAATTTTTTAATATTGAGTAGAATTAACAATATATAATTAAAAAAAATTTAGAAATCCATCAATAGAACTTGTCTATATAGAACTTGTTTGAGTATGCAAATTATAAAAATTTATGACTATATTGCTATATAATCAGATAAAGAAATTGAATATATAACTATAAATTATTAGATATAATATAAACAAATGGTTTTGCAGTAATATGGCTTCATTTAAAATAGACTACTGGTTATTGAGGAAACATTTATGGTTTCCAAACTTTTTTTAAAAAAGTAATGCTAAAAACATTTAATGTGCAATACTCATTAATTAATGCTTATGCCGGGCTTATGCATACTGCTTTGTTTTTCTGCAGAACAAAGCAACAAAAAAACTTTGTAATTTTTCCAAAACAATTTATAAACCACAGCTGTTATTATTGTCACCAAAAAGGACAACATTTAACCATATCAAAAAGTGGTGCTCTATTATAGGTCGTTTTAAAAATTAGAGAAATTAACAATTCAAGGAAAAGTCATAATAATGAATGACATCAAAAAATATAAGCAGTCAACTGAAAAAAATTATAGAATATTGTACTGATAGTAAAATTATTAAACATTGGCCCAAATCTGATACCAGAATGGAATGATGTACAAGTTTTATGTTAAAAGTGCAGTGTTAAAAATTAGTTTTCTTAACATACATACAAATTATCTACTTTGTTTCTCTTATAAAATAGGACCATACTGCTTTTACCAAACAAATAATTCTTGGTCCACATTTCACGATTTTTTACTGATTTAAAATGAGCCTCACCTATTGCAAATTTCATTTAGTGTGATTAAGATGAAGAGTGAGAATTTTTAATAAGAAGAGTATTAAAGTATTAAGCAAATAAGTGAAGCAAATATTGCACAGATTTCACATTAGCTTAAAACTTGCTTCACAATTAAGACATTTTTTGCTTAAAATCGAGACCTTAATAATTAGATTTAGATGATTTAGTCATGGTTTATTATGCATAATTCTAACATTTTTAAAGGGTAACTATACTACTAAGTCTAGCCTAAGTTAATAAACATTTACCCGTATGCCCTCAATTGGGGCAGGTCGGGGTAAATATTTTCATACTACTAAGTCTTAATGTATTACGACACTCAGAATTTCGACACTCTACAGAATCTGATAAAGTATTAATGAAGTAAACTCACAATGAAAACCAAATTTTCTACAGACAATAAATCTTTTAATTTAGCAAGGATAACCATTATTTTTACAAATGAATTACTAATTAAGTAAAAAATATTAACATTACTTTAATCATTTCTATCATTCTACATAGAGCTAATACACATGTCTTGGTCATTGGTTTAGACAAAGATACATGAAGATTCATTATTGTTTTTACTTGATGATTTATTGTCCAGGCTAATTTTAAACCCTAAAACAAAATTACAATGATTAGTAAAGTTAAATGTCTTAAAATAAAAATACAAGTAGCAGGCAAAAAATGTAAATGCCATAAAATTAAAAAGAGAAAAACTTTTAACCGCGACAATAACTAATATTCATTCAGATCAATCAAATGTTTTTATTTTTAAATTTAACAGTACAGATAGATTAAATAAACAAAAAGGAATATTAGAAATTAATTATTTTGAATCATTCACAAATTATAAGATAAAATTTTGATTTAAACTTCTTAATGTTCAAACTTCATCAACTTATTTTGCCAATTGTTTATAATTTTTATATATTTCAAATTACAATAAGTATTAACCAAAAGTTTACACTGGGAAAGGTAAATTCAAATTGTGACTGAATGTTATCTTAAATGTTATCTTGAAATGGAAATTTCAATTTAATTTTAACTCAATTTTACATTCATACTTTAAATTATAAATTAGGTTTTCATTCATTGAATGATCCATTTATTCCAAACATACATCCCATTTATTCAAGTATATCTGTATGTCCCATTTATTCAAGTTTCCATTTTAATGTCAAATTCCTGTTACATGTCCAAAACCACTTACATGATCTCTGCGATTTTTTAAATTTCTATCCCTGATAAAGATCCCTAAAATATGACAATACTTCAGTGTTTTAAAAGTTCCTACAATTTAAAAATTTAAATATAAAAAGATCCTGTATGTAAAAAGAAAAGCAATTAAGTTCTTGTATGAAAAATGAAAAATAAGGTCATATCACAGATATGTGTGACCATATCTGTGATATGACCTAAAAAATATAGCTGAATATGAGCCACTCATTTAAGATATTTATAAAAAACTAATGACGGTTGTTTTACATTTAGATAAATTTTGTAGCTTGTTCAAATATACAGAAAAAATAAATGATCTAATTTCCTTGTGGCTTGAACATTTAACTCCTAAATAAAAGAACTAAAATTCCTTTGTCATGGTATTACATAATAGAATAAAAACCTTAAGCGTGACCATTACAGAACAGAACCCTTAAAAAGTTTAGATGAACTCTTATAATTTCAAAGAGAGAAAAGATACCTGTAACAATAAAGAGCATTTCCGATTAAGATCTTCAAGCAATTTTCCAGTATCTGTTAAGCTGGAGTCCATTTTAGTCATCCAGTTCATAGTGAGCATGAAATAGTTTGATACATCTCTGAGACAAAAGAAAAATTATTTATGTCTAATATACAACATAACATAAAAAATAATTTGATTCTCAAAACAATACATAAGTTTTGCAAATTACCTTTTTTTGTATTTTATGAATATGTTAATTATATCAGGATTTTTTGATACCCAAGTTCAATTAATTTTAGGAAAACTTACCAAGGTTGTAAGAAAAAGGATTTTGAAAACAAAACAAAGTTAGTTCTGCAGCGATTATTTTGAAGGAAATTAGTTAGTTATAATTTTATAACTAATTAAATTTCAAAGTACATGCCAGTCAGATGCCAGCAAAGTATTAACTCGCAAAATATTCAGAAATCACTCGTCTTTAAAATAACAGCCATAAGTGAAATTTAGAGTTCTGGTTTCTATATTATATTACAATAAAAATATATACACTGGACAAGCCATATTTTGAAAAATATTAAATTCTGAACATTTCATCGACTAATACTTTTGTTTAGAAAGTCGTGTTATAAATTGTTAGTGATTTTTGCAGCAATCCAGCATGTAAGATGTTGAATAAATTTTATTTTCAATACAATTTAATCAGGGTTCTCTGATTTTTAAACTTGAATTAATTATAATCCATTTAAGAATCATTACACACACACAAAAAGAATAATATTTTTTTCCAAATATTTGTCTTTAAGTAGACTTTTGAAAAATGAATCCTAGCATTAATTTTACTTAAAATTTTTGAAAGGAATTGCAGACTTTTGATAGTTCATTTTTACCACCATATAAAAATGTCTTGTAACGATTGAAATAATATTTGGCAACTTTTCAAAATTTCTAAACAAGATGGGGGGGGGGAGATTAAATTTAATGTGAGTCATGTATATTTTCTTATGGTACCACGAATGAAGTATATTTTCTTATGATAATATGCACAATGGTACTTTATAACTACTTGGAACTCAGTATTATATTATGGTACTTTAATACTCTTTTATCCAAAACAGAAAGTATATTCAACATCCTACAGGCCATTCATTGTATTTGTATGAATAGTTTTATTTAATGTAAAAATTAAAAAACATTGATTAAGAAATGGTTTAGGAATAAATAATAAGCAAACATAATAAAAAATAATCTTTTGTTTGTTCTGAAAAATGGACCAAATTAATGGTTTACTTATAGTAAGAGTGTTCAAAACAGCTTTCCAAAATAATAATCTTTAACAAATACTCCTTAATTTTTGTATTTTAATTATTTTTTTTAAACATGATATTACTGCATACAGAAATAAACTATAAAGAGCCCAGAGCTGAGATGAAATTGATATGGATATAATTTTATATTGGGAAATACATAAGTCAGCTTGGCAATTTATTTTGTGTCAATATTTCATAAAAATAACTTTTTTTATTATTTCAATAATGTAAAGAATTTGTTATCTAAATATCAGTATATTTTACGTCTATCTTAAAATTTTATATTACAACAAAATTTTAAAAATTTTACTGTCAATATTAAAAGTTACACACAAAAAATCTCTAATCTGTAATGATTCGTAATTTCTCATTTATGAAGATTTATAAAGAAAACATTTGTATACATTTTTTATTTGTCAATCAAACGAAAATAAAATCTAACTAATGGAGCCTAGTTCAAATTTTAAATAAGAGATTTAATAAAGCAAAATATTTTCCATGTTCTCAACCATTTTTCCATCTTATACTGTTACAAAAGAAAAGTTTTTGAAAGAAAAAACACTTTTACATTTTTATTAACTTAAAAACTTTTTACCAGATTACTAACTTAAAAAACTCAGGTTTTTTATATTTGTTTCAACTTGAAACTAAGGTTTTTCATTTAAAAAAACACATGACAAGATTAATTTATAGTTAAAAGGCATAAAAATGTTTACAGAAGGTAGTCATAAAATTTGAAAGACCGCACATTCATAGTCAAAAGTTGAAATGTAAATATGATACATAAATTTATTGTAGGTAAAATTCTACAGAGTAATAAAAGATTAATCTTTAACTATTTTCCCTAATTGGAATTTGGGTAGAACCTTGTTTCTTTCCCAGGAAAAAAGTTTTTTTTTAATTTTGAAGTTATTTAATGAAAAAACACAGTTTGACAAGTTAAATTGTACAAACAAATTTGTTTATGTGGCTTGACTGATAAACGTTTAAAACTCTTAAGATTACAGAATCAATCCTGAACCAAACTAAGAAACTTTGAAATTTATTCATTATCAAAATTTAAAATTTTATTTAGAATTTCGAAGTTATCTAACATAATTTTAAAAAGTTTTAGAAATGAAGCATAATATTAAAAGATTTTAAATAAAGAGCATTATTGGTGATACTCACTTCAACAGATTTTGATTTTTCTGTAATAAATAAGACTGTCTAGAAAGCTTTACAGCATCTTGTGACTTCCGATCTACACTTCTGGCTACTAAAGGCAATCTAGTTAGCAGAAACATATCAGGAAACCACATAATATTAGCAATTAAAGGAACTGCAGGAACCTAAACATTAAAGCACATTTATAGATTTTCAAAAAAAAAAAAAGAGTTTAAAATTATATTTAAGAAAAACGTTGCTTACTGCTGTGATAAAAATTGTAAATTCACTATGTCAGTATGCTTAAAATATTAGTATATAAAAGATATTAAATCTAATTATTATTATGCATTATTATTGAAAGCCTTTGCAAATTATTACTAGTCAAGATGTTGGTCAGCATACAGCTTGAAACTACACCATGGAGTGAAACATTTTCCAGATGGAGGTCAATAGCCTATTAATGTGGCTCTAAAGTAGTATTAAAAATCAAGTGAATCAAATGTCATTTCTTTATCATATGTATTTAATAAAATCTACTAAAACTGACAGTTGTAATTCCTCTTCTGCAATTATGAAAAATTAACTTTAGTAGTGGATAACTCAATAATAAGTAATCAGAAAAATTAGATTTTCAATAGTTAACTATTAAGATTTTATTTAAAAAAATGTTTTAGTAGCTCCCTAAGTATTGCTTAATGTCTCAGTACATATTCAAAAAAAAATTTTGCTTAATACTGTTTGAAAAAGATTTTATTAATAATGTACAATTTTCACACTGATTACAACTCTCTTATACAAAATTATTATTACTGTAGATTTATTTCTAGAAATGAAAATCGAAATGAAATGCAAGTGGAAGTTCAACTAGAATTATAAATTGTAAGAATCTGAAAATGTTTATCTTTTCAATTTTAACCTAAATTAATTGCATTGGTAAACAGAGCTAGGGAAAATTACAAGCTATATAGTTTTCAAGTCGAGCACAATAGTTACTTTAAAATATCATTCACTTTTATCTAAATATTACAACTCACAAAACATTTTGAGCTATAACTCGAGTATTCCAATTGACATTAATATTGAAAACTTCATTTTTAACAAAATAGGAGACATTCAATATCATTTCCCCAATTTTTACTAAAAGAAATTGCTTCTACATAAACAATTAACACTTAACAATCAACATTTGTAAAGAGAAACAACAAACTATCCATTTTGAAAGATAGCAATATTTGTATTTTTACAAATTTCTAACATCCTTCATTAAGAACACTAATATAATCTGAATTTAAATTATATGTAACTTAAAACAAAAATCATAATATTTCAAAGGGAATATCTGTATGGGATAGATAAATTTATTTAGTTTAATAAAATTTTAATATAAAATACTTTCAGCTGTTCAATAAAATTTTTATTCAATATAACTTTAACCATAAGCTAGAATTTTTATTTACAAGTCTTTATTTACAAGTCTTACTTCAAATTTGGTTTTTTTCCTTTTTTTTTTTTTTTTTTTTTGGAAAGATTAGAGGAAAAAGTTTTAAGTTCGTTTAATTTTTTATTTGTTTATATTCAACAAATATTTCAGAAGAAGTTATTGTAAATATATTTTTTCTTTGAGTTTATCATAAATTTAAATTTATTAATTTTGTGACATTAATATTTTACGATGCGCTTAAAATTTTCATTCAATTCTTAACATTTTGAAATAAAGTTTTCAGTTGGCAGATAAATATTTCTTTAAAAGAATAATAAGTATAGCAGTTTTGACTGAGTTATTGCAATAACAAAAAGAAAAATACAAAACCTTTTTATAAATATCCCATAAACTTTTGAAGAATTTTTTGTCCATGACTCTGAACAAGTAAAAATGTAAAACAAACAAACAGCAAACATCTGGTATCTTCAAACGGGCATCAAATTCATTACTTTCACCTTCACAAATAAAATTTGAAATATAATGAAACACAATTTTTAAAAAAAAAAACTCATTTCGTGAGCTTAAATATTTTAATCAATGAAAGGAAAATAAATTATACCTATTTTTGATTCAATAACCATAAAAAATTTCCTGATGTTCAGATTGAATTCATCTAAGAAGAAAGTGTTTTTTGTTACGAAATTTTTGTTGTCATCAAAATTTTGTTCTACAGCACCCTAAAAAAATAGAACATTTCATGTAAAACATACCAGCAAATGACTAAAAAAATTCTTATATTAAAAATTTTTTTAATAAGGTTAATAAGGCTTAACTATAAACTAATTGCTTTGACATTTCCCTCAAAGTAATGCAAGAAAAGTCAAAAGAAAAAAATGAAAGTTAAATATGTTTCGCATATATATATGTGTGTGTGTGGGTGATGTTAGGAGCCATGGTCGAAAGTTCAGGAATGCAGGCAAACAGTTGGAGGGAAAATTATGTTCATTTAAGTAATTTTAAAGAGATGACAGAGTGTCACATCATCTATTTAAAACATATTCATGCATTGGTAGAGACCAAATCGCACTCTGAAATTTGTATGCTTGAGTTTTTATCCTTGGGAAAGTAGCACAAATTTTTCCCTCTGTTGTTTTAGGTCTCAGGTAAAAGGGAAACATTGATAATTATAATTGGTCCATTAAAAAGTTGAAGGAATTAAAATCTTTCCCAGAATTCAATTGAGGGAAAAATCAAAAATGTTAATTTATACATACTGAATCAAAAATTAGAATAAGAAAAGAGGGAGTGAATAATTAGTTGTGAGAAAGGGTTGAATGTTGAATAATAATTTAAGAAGGAGAATTTAGACAAAGAAATAACACAAAAAGATTATATATNATATGCTTTGTTCATGTGATTTATGGGTGATTCTTTTCAAACATGACAATTTGGACCAAAAAATTTCTTCATATTTAAAGTCTTCAAAATAATCAAAAAAAAATTTTGTATACTTCTTTAGTTACACTTATTAATATCTTACAGACAGCAGTATAGTTTATTGACATTTGCTCGAGAAGAAAAAAATAAAATAGAAATTCACAAAATCTTGAATGCCAGGAAAATGGCATATTAGCCTAGAAGTTTAAAAAACAGTCATTTTAAGTTAATAGTAAGTAACTCAACTTAAGCCTTTATGTTAGATGGACCATAAATTGGTTAAATTAATTTTTTTTATCCACTGTAGAAAGAATCAAAAAAAATTTTGTCGCTGATATGTACAGAATAAAATTGTGTATAATAATCAATCATTAAATAAATAAATAACTTTGATTACATCCAACCATATTACAATCATACATAATCTTGGTATTAGGTTAATATTTGCTTTTCCTCCTTACAGTATTAGCAGTTAAAAAAATTTCTGGTAACACTTCAATGTCCTGGAATTCATAAGCCAGGATAATGACAAATTCGCCATTTTATAGCATAGAACTTAAATTTAATATTTTGGCCTAAGACATTTACATTCTACAGAAAACAACAGGATTTCTTAAAATAACTCAGATAAATCTATGTAGTTTATGTTATTAATGATTTCAAAAAGCCAGGAAAGTAACAACACAAAAACCTACTCATCTTGAAAAAAAATTTTAAATAGATTTTGAACCAGAAAATTGGGTTTTTATTCATGCAACAAGACATGTTCATATAGGAAGGTATCTATTCAATCCATTAACATAAGATATTGATTGCTGGCTCTATCTATTTTGGTTATAAACCACTAAATAAAAGTAGCCAGGAAAACGACAGATTTTCTTGGGACAAACAAATTATTAACAGAAAAAATTATTTTTAACTAAGTTTTTATAAATAATACCCTCTGCGTATATTCTAGAAATGCTTACACCGGTTAAGATAAAAAAAAAATTAGATATTGAAAAATTTATGGGAAGTTTTAAAGCTAGTTATTTGGGACATGCCAGAAAAATGAAATCTTGAAATTCGATTAAATTTTTTAACTATACAAAACAGTCAATGCTAGTACAAAGTCATCTTAAAATGCTAACAGTCAATGCTAGTACAAAGTCATCTTAAAATGCTAACAGCAATGCAATTTTTTAATTCTTTTAAAAAAAGTTTCTTTTAGTATTCTAGTATTAGATCTTGGAGCAAGGGACAGTGAATTGTCATATATCGTGAGAATCACCCATATATGTATATATATAATGTTGTTGCTTGCAAAATTTTATAATAAAATGATTACTAAAAATAAATTTAAATGCAAACATTTGACAAAATAGCAAAATAAACAATAAAACAATTACCAAAAAAATGCTTCCTTCTAACAATTGGTTTTCTAATTTGTTGATTAATTTCTCAAAAGGTCTTAACTTTTCTGATTCAATGCCTAGTTTTGATGGTTTGTGATGGATAGACACTAGCATTCGTTTAAATTGTGTCCAGTGCTCTCGGAGAACAACTTGACTATCGATGATCTCATCAAGAGTCACTAAAATTGTCAGCAAAGAACCTAAATATTTATAGACTGTCTAAAAATGGAATGAAATTTTATAATCAATATATTTTCTAGGCAATATATTTTAAACATAAATCAAACATAAATTTATCAGAGAATGTAAAAAAGTGAAGCATTAAACTAACTTAATAATATTTTTAGTTGAAAAAAAGTTTGCAGACAAGAAGACTTTGAATCTGCAATGTACCTAAATTATGTAAATAATTACTATCTAAACTCAACTACTTAAAAGGAAAAGATGCTTTGTTTGAATTATTACATTTATCAGTTGCAGTAACTTATAGTTTGTCTACAGTAAGAACTCCCCCCGCCACAAAGTCTAAGGCCGTCTACTGCTATGGAAACAAGAATGGCCCATTTTAATAAGAGGGTATGTTCACTCTAGGACTAAAACAATAGACCGAAGAAAGAGATTCCCTTTCTCTCGTTGAGGCGAGTCGAAACCTGTCCTAAACAATTACCCTACTTGAAAAAGTTATACCTCGTTACCATAGTTCCCGCCACGGATGCAGACGAATGGATAGGGGACTTCTTACTTTAGACAAACTATACATAATATCATGGATTCAGGGACAATGATGAACTTATTTACAATCTTGTCAAATAAGATATCACTTATAACACAGTTTTACTGCCAAAACTGACATTTTCTAGAACTCTTTAGTAGAATATTGCTATAAGCTCAACATTAAAAGTCAAACAACTCCACCAACATATATCATTTTATTTCAACATTTATAACGTAATTATATTATTAGTAGGGTAAAAACCTTTGCAATTGAATAATTTTTTTGCAAATGATATTAGTCTTTTATTTTGAAACTAATTTTATTTTACGATCAATAAAAGAGCACATAAAAAAAAGTGTATAATCAATATCAATAGGCTAAAATACAAATCTAGATTAATTCCATAAAGTATTGATAAAACTAAGAACGCTTTTGTTTCATAATATTCAGTAGAGCTAACACTTGATTTCAACAGAATCAATCATATTGATATATTTTGTTGCTAAATATTAAAAGTTTCTTTTAATATTATGTCACTGATCAAACTCAGTACCAAACTACATGGGTAAATTGTTTCACCAAAATTTACACTATAAATATGAGGGGCAATCAGATGAAAACCAAACACCTATAACAAAGTGATAATAAAATTTACTAATGCTAAAAGTGTTAATACTGTTACTCTATAGGATACAAGGTGATCGATTCCATTCTTGTCAGGAACATGCAGAAATTATCGTACACAGCAGACATGAGACATTGAATTTTGCACATTCCAGCCGTCTCAGCCACCAAGAAACAAACAATTCTTTGCTCCTCCTTGCTTACTTCTATTTTCAATGTTGAACCAAGATGCTTTAAACTACGAGAGAATAGTAAAGAGAATAAAGAAAGTAGAATTCTTCCTGAGTAACTTCTACACTCCTCACTTCTAGTGTAATAAAGAAGTAACTGTCAACCTGTGCATTGCATTTCTCCTGATTTACAGATGGCATTGTTGATAACAACAACAGTGTTGGCAACTTTGGGGATAAATTTGTTTTTAAGGTGGGTGGTGGTTTTCATTTGATTGATATTTAAGGCTCGAAAGTATTTCTAAATACATTAAAAACTTATAAATACATACTAAGAAGTGAACATCAGTAACATCTATTAAGGCTGCAGTGCCATTTTTATGACCAGAATGTAAGCCATTAAGCTGGTGGATTATATTTTTCACAACAACATAGCAGCGTTCAACAAAACAAGATAACTCCTGAAATGAAATTTAACAAATTTGTTATTTTATTTATAAAACACAATATCAGTAAAAAAGAGATGGAATTCCATACAGATTTCTGATGTACCATTTTTTTTTCTTTTGATTCAAAACACAAAAAAACTAAAATCTTGAAATTTCAGGGACAAGTTAACTACCCATATAATTAAGCAGTGAGGATTAAGGATTTACAGAACTTTAAAATTTCTGAAAATTATTATGCAGATAGTAACTATACAAAACATAGTTTACTATATATATTCTTTCAATCCAAGTAATACTAAGAAAATTTAGAAAGAAAAAAAAGATTTGCTTTGGGTTACAAAAATATTTAAGCTACATAAAACTAAACAAAAAAATTACATTTTCACATAAGGTGAAGTTTTATAATGTCACATTTCTTCCTTATTAACTATCCATGGTATGGTGGGTTTTTGGACGAGGATTTAACAACAAATATCAGTTTTTACTAAAACATTTTTGCTAAAAGATATGAATTACTCGTATTCAGTTTAAAATGCATTATAAAAATAATAAAGACTAAAGAAAAAATTTTGGTGGCGACAAACTTCAAACAAAACATAAAAATAAAAAAGGAATATTAAGAGCCAACACAAAGTCAATAATTTCCTTTTGCTGACTATTTACTATAAATATACATACATAAAGGAGGAAACTGGAGTTAATTGATCCACTTTTAAGTATGTATTTCTTACCTTGCAAAAAAATTATCTGCAGAATATGATTTTTTTATAAGACAACTTTCCACACTCATGATTTTTTTTTCAAAACAAACAATTAGCATTATTATTATTGTAAATTTTGAAGAAAAGAACTTATTTACATTGGACCAGCATACCCCAGAGCCCTGGAACCTTGGTCTACCTCATGGGGCACATTGGACTATATAATAAAAATATATTCAGAAACAATATTGAAGGGCAAATAATATTTAGTACAATAATTATGTTTCTTTTCCCTTCAGCATTTAAAATGAAAATTGCTTAAAAAAGTTTTTATTTATAAAAAATAAAAATAAAATAAGAGATAACCATGTTTACTACACACAATTATATACCAAATTTTATCAAAAAAACTTTTTTGGTGCTCATACTAAGTGATTTTGTATCATGAAACATGCCATAATATTTATAGCAAATTAAAGTAAACAAAAGACATATCAAACAATCACTGGACAGTGAAAAGCCTGATACTCCGGAAACAAAGTTTAGAGGGGAAAATTAGAATTATATCAGTTTCATGCACTATTATTTATCAACATTTCTTGGATATATAAAAATAATAATAAAATTTAATCAGCCTTAACATTCTACTCTTTCCTTTACATTGTTTTTTAAAACAGCCCACAACTGTACCAGTATCTACTTTTTTATTGTCTATCTTATAATTTTTTATTAATTCCTTTTCTTGATTAGCCTGATTTTAAGACATATTGATTATACATTATACTGATAAAATAAAACAAAGAATGTGTTTTACATAATTTACCACATTACAATTGCATTTAAATACAAATATATATCTATGTATAAAACATAATAGAAGGAAATTTTTTCATAATTTTCGAATTTTTTGATTTAGTAATAAATTTTTGATGAAATTATTTTATTTTAATGCAGATGGAGACTTGGTAGGTTGAACCATACCAAGACAGGGACAGGGTATTGGACAGGGCTCAATTTTTTTAAGACATTAAATATTTTTGTTTATTTTTTCATTAACATATTGCATCATTAGTACTATAAATCCTAAGAAAGAATCGCATAGCTCAGCTAATGTGTGTATTTTTTATTTCAGCAAGTTGTATTTCAGGAATGTTAAGTAATTTTTTGAACTTCACTGCTTTACCTTCTAAAATTTGTTTCTATAAGAAAAGAGCAATAAATTGTAATTATTTTACAAGGTTAGATCTTTAATATAATGGTTATTTTCAGTTATTTAAATTTATATGATAAGGAAAGATATTATTGTGATATTTTATGAAACCCACAACATGGGGTACATTGATCCACAAAAAACTGGGGTAAGTTGGACCATAAAAATAATTATGAAAATCAATTTATCAATCAAACAATTTAAGCCAGTTATACAACCTGCATAAAAGGAATCATCCGGCCTATATAAATATGTGCCTCTCCATCTACTAAGGCATCCGGAGACTCTAAAAAAGAAAAGAAAAACAGAAAAGCATATAAGATAAATTAAAGCTGATATTCAATATTTCAATAATATATTGTAATTATGCATTTAAATGATAATTAGTTTCTTTTACAATAAATTTAAAATTATCCTTGAATTAATATTTAATAAACTAGAGAAATATAACACGCACACACACACATATATATGGGCGATTCTCACGAAATATGACAATTCACTGTCCCCTACTCCAAGATCTAATACTATAATAGTAATACTAAAAGAACTTTCTTTTAAAAAATTTATAAATAGCATTGCTGTTAGCATATTAAAATGACTACTAGTTTTGTATAGTTAAAAAATTTAATTGAATTTCAAAATGTCATTTTCCTAGTATTTCCCAAACAATGTTTTCAATAATAACTAGCCTCAAAACTTCTCATAAATTTTTCAATACCTAATTCTCTTTATCTCAACCGGTGTAAGCATTTCTAGAATATATGCAGAGGGTATTACTTACAAAAACTTCATTTAAAATAAGTTTTTCGGTCAAAAATTTGCTTGTCCCAAAAAAAATCTGTCATTTTCCTGGCTACTTTTATTTAGTGGTTTATAACCAAAATAGATAGAGCCAGCAATCAATATCTTATGTTAATATATTGATTAGATGCCCTCCTATATGAACATGTCTTGTTGCATGAATAAAGAACCAATTTTCTGGTTCAAAATCTATTTCAAAAATTTTTTCAAGGTGATTAGGTTTTTGTGTTGTCATCATTTTCCTGGCTTCTTGAAATCCTTAATAACATAAACTACACAGATTTATCTGAGTTATTTTAAGAAATCCTGTTGTTTTCTGCAGAATATAAACGTCTTAGGCCAAAATATTAAATTAAAGTAAAGTTGTATGCTATAAAAAGGCGAATTTGTCATTATCCTGGCTTATGAATGCCAGAACATTGAAGAGTTACCAGAATTTGCTTTTAACTGCTAATACTGTAAGGAGGGAAAGCAAATATTAACCTAATACTAAGTTTATGTATGATTGTAATATGCTTGAGTGTAATCAAAGTTATTTATTTATCTAATGATTGATTATTATACACAATTTTATTCTGTACATATCAGCAACAAAAAATTTTTTGATTCTTCCTACAGTGGATAAAAAGAATTATTTTAAGCAACTAATGGTCCATCTAACATAAAGGCCTAAGTTGAGTTACTAACTATTAACTTAAAATTACTGTTTTTTTAACTTCCAAGCTAATATGTCATTTCCCTGGCATTCAAGATTTTGTGAATTTCTATTTTATTTTTTTCTTCTCGAGCAAATGTCAATAAACTACACTGCTGCCTGAAAGATATTAATAAGTGTAACTAAAGAAGTATACAAAAAAATGTTAGATTATTTTGAAGACTTTAAATTTGAAGAAATTTTTATGGTCTGAATTGTCATGTTTAGAAAGAATCACCCATATATATATATATATATATATCCNAAATAATTTTGGCAATGTATATATATAATGTATAACAAAAGTATATATATATATATATATATATACAGTGGAACTCTAGGTTTTCAATGTCCGTTTCGTACATCATTTTCTGCTGCTTTGCGAAAATTGCAGACACCAATAATGTAATATTATCCGAGATTTTATGTTATCCTTTTTAAAAAAATCCTGCTTCACACGTTTTTCAAACAGATCAAAATAATTTTTTTCCCACAAAGCAAACACAAACTTTCTGAATTTTCTTTTTCTTCTTCTTTTCTTTTCTTAAAATAAGCCAGTATTAATTTTTTTGTAAGTGTGGAGGATGGGCAAAGCGCAGGAAAGGTTTTTAAAGGAAATATATAGGTATGGAAGTAAAGGAAGTAAGCAGGGTTGGGGTTTTGGACGTCCTAAACTGGTTTTGGACAGGATACATAGGTTTTACTGTCTTAAACTGTTCTAAACTGACTAAAACTGTCTTAAAGTGTTCAAAACCTTAAACTTTAGTTAAAGGTAAAAATTCTATATGTGTAACCATTATGCATATAATAATTACATATATCAATAAATATTTGATATTTTTTATACAATTTACTTCAACTTATTAAAGGAAAATTATATACTATAATAGGAAAAGGTTTATAATTTTTGAAGCTCCACAATTGATTGAAAAACAAAAGTGAATACCTTCTCCTTTAAATATAAATATGCTTTTAATACTAATTAATTATATTTTTGCATAAGGATAAATAATGCAATATTAAAATTAATAATTCTTTTAAAAAAATAATAATAAATTTGTTTAAAAATTAACCTTTAATTTTTCACAATATTTTTTTTAAAAAATGTTATAACTTCTTCATCACAGGATGATAAAAAAGACATCCATTTAAAAAAAAATGTCTTTAAATATAAATATATTAGTTTAAATTGGAAATACAAAATAATTGAAAAATGTATTAACAGTTTTGAAGGGCCTAACACCAGTTTCAGTTACTGGCACTGGGGATGTATCACCACTATGCTAAAAGAATTGCAAGTATTAAAAATTACTCAAGCAATGCAAGTATTTCATTACTTGGCCTATTTATTAAACCCTAATATAAAGGAGAAAGCTTGTCTGATGTGCAAAAAGAAAGTCCTCAGCCATATTTAACTGACAAATTTCCTGAGTGCATTTCTCTTTTGATTACCTATGAGGCTGAAGCGACACCATTTCCAAAAACTGACTTCACAGAAGCTGGGAGAATCATTAAACCAGTGATATAGTGGATGGCTCAGTGTCAATTAAAAGGATGTTTTTAAATTTTGGAGTAATTCACTTAAAACTTAGAAACCGTCTTGGTGTGAATACAGCGGTTAAATTAGTTATGTGCTATCGAATTTAAAGAGGACCAATTGAACTTGATTACTGATTAACCTTCCTTTGTTTAATGTTTAAATTGAAGAGTCAAACAATATTAATAAAACATTATACTTTTAAAAACAAATATTTTCTAGTAGATTTAATTATCAGTATGTTATTAGTACTATGTTTATTTTACCTTTTAAATATTGTTCAGATAAAATTGTGACATAATTTGAGTAAAAGGGTTTTGGATAGTTTAAGACAGTTTTGGACAAAGGGGTTTTGGCAGGACGGTTTAAAATGCAGATTAATTCATTCTGTCCTAAACCTTGCCAACCCTGGAAGTAAGTGATGTATATATTAAACAATATAAAGACTATAGGAAAACTTAACACCAGTATTTACAAATATATATCCTATATAAGGATAAAACTATATTGTTCAGACTTGATACTGAATGTTTGTTATTATCATTGTAACGTTTAATAATTGATCGTAATATTTATTTTTTGTGAATTAAATTATTATTTTAAAAAATTCTATTCGATAATAATGGATTATTTTATCTAAATTAGGCTTGTTTTTCAAATTTAAAAAAAAAAAGAGAAAGAGAAAGAAACAGAGGAATTATTCACTACTTTTATTAAAAAGGTAGATAATGAGCAAATGAAAACATAGTGCAAAAATATTTTACTAACTATTTAAAAATTATCTATGTTATATGATAAGTGATAATATGTGGTATTGAAATTTCTGTACAGCTAAGGTTAAGAAATATCAGTTTCAAAGTTAATAACACATTTTCAAATGTATTTACATTTCTTCATTTATTTATATAAAAAAAATATTCTTTTAAAATGTTTAACTAGATTTAGATTAGTTCAAAAGAATATTTTTTAAAAATACTTAAAAATGGCTCATTTTTAAAAAAATTTTTAATTTAAATATCTCAATTCTATTCTAACTATCACAATTTTAGTATAACTTTACAAAAAAAAAAGTAAAAGAAACTTACCTCCTTCTCCATAAAAGAGAAGAGCAGGGAAAAATTTTACTTTGGCTTCATAACAAAGATCATCAACTTCACAGCATAAAATTGAGAGGACAGATATCACCTTATTCAAAATTTTGTTATCAGTTGATACCAATTCTAGAACTGTGGTTTTCTCTAGGGGGGACAGCTAGGAAAAATCAAATATATGTATATATATAATACTCACTCTCACTTAATTACAAACTATTTCATGACCCAGGGCTGGAAAAACCGCCCATCCTCGGTGGTCAAAAAATTTCCCGCAGACAACAAATTTCTCAAATCCGACGTTCGCGCAGACGGCCATTTTCCCGTTAATGTTCGTGATACATTTTCTTATCTTACAAGAGTCTAGTGCCTCAGTTCTAAAATGACCCTCTAATCTAGAAATCCCATTAATTCCTTCGTCAGACCAAATGTGCATGCTCACGTAATTGGTAAACAAAAGAAAAGTTGCTCAGTGAATGTGCATTTGGACTTCTAAAGAAGAAATAAACAATTCCTCTGATCACGTACCGCCCGGCTGGTGACGTCACTGTTGACTTCTCCATGGTGCAGTACCCTCAGATAAATTGACATCTAGAGAAAATTATATTTTTATTTATTTAGAAGCTACGGGTTAGTCCTCGGGGACGGTTAAAATTTCTGAGTTTTTTCGAGCCCTGTCATGACCCTTAATGAAAATATTTTTCGTATCTCAATTTTAACAAAAACACAAAAAATATATAAAAGGCCAGCATTAACACCTGTGTGAAAAACTAATTAACTAGACTACAGTTAACAAAAATGAAGCAAGATTTCCCAAAAATATAGTCAGGTCACTAATCAGGTCAAAGAGAGTCACTAGTGGTTAAGATAACTTAAATTATATCAATATTCTTATGATAACATGATTAATATTCTTTTATGATATAATATTCTTTTATGATATTATGATATATTAGTGTATAATATTTTTTTAAGAGCTCTTGTATAATATAAAAGACCCTTTATATTACATAAATAAACATTCTAGGCTAGTATAATATAGAATAAGCTATAAACATTACTAATATTTATAGATTTACAAAAAATGATAAATTGTAACACATTATTGAAGAATAGGGTTAGAGTATGTCCAAGAAACCCAGTATCATAACTACTTTCTGCTGTTACTCTACTTGCTTATTGAACAGACATAGAGTGTTAATTTTACTGCCAAGTCAACAAAAACGAATCATAATGGTTGATTTGCACAGCATGAAAATATTTATATTTTTTTTATTTATTTGAGTTAAAATAAAATTAGATGTTATGTTTGATCATGTAAGCAGTTTTAGAAAAAAATTAATTAACTTTTTGTCTGTTCCAAAGTAAAACAATAATAAGGAAATTAAGCATCAAAAATATAATGCCTTAGCCACATTATTGCTCTATTTTAATGTTTTCATCATATAAGAAAACTAAATACTTCTCTTGTAGAAGTTCATTGAATAAAATACTACAGTAGGGAACCGATTATCCGGAACGATCGGAACCATCGCTATTCCGAATAACTGATTTTTCCGGTTTTCTGAATCGCTACAAAAAGTCGTTTTTTTATTGTTAAACCCAACTTTAAAAAAAAAAAACTTGGATATAATCTTAAAAAGAAGAAAAAACGATGAAGTAATACACTAATGATTATTTCCAAAATGATGGTAAGGTAAAAATCTTTCCAAAAAGAAAGAAAAATCCTAAAATCTTAGAGAAAAAAAAAAAACATTTTTCAAAAAATTACGGGAAAATTAGTTTAATTTCGTTCCGGTTTTTTTGGTTTTCTGATTTCTGGATAACGGGTTCCGCACTGTACTTTTTTTAAATATTATTTAATAAAGAATCATATTAATATTTTTTTACATAAAAAAATAGCAAAACAAAAATAAAATGTTTAAAACTAGAGCAGTGAAATTATAAAATTTTTTAATGGTTCCGATCATGCTATGTTTCTAACTAGAAAATTTGTAAGTGACTGATAATTATTGATTCTATTTTAAAAATTATAACAAAACAACTTATCTATCAACTTTTTAAATACAAAAATGGTTAACCAACGACCTAAAAAAAATAATAAGAAGAACTTTTATTAATTGCAAAAAAATTTTCTTTAGAGAGTAGTATCATGTAACAGAGACATCATGTAAAGTGACACTGTAACACATTATCTCCAGTGTTTCTCTTAAACTTTTCTAAAAATTATCTGAATTCTTTGGTGTTTAAAAACTTTTGTGTTGGAACTTTAGAAAAAAGTTTAAAATTACTAGCATGAACTTTTACATTTAAACTCAAAATAAAATGTTCCTAACATTAAATAAAAAAATTTAATTAGAAAAAAAATGAAATTTAACATAGAAGTAAATTTCACTTAAACATGACTTTTAAAGAAGCTTACTTGAATAGAAACAGGTTCTAATTCTTGACTCCAAAAATCATTTATTGTTTCATCAAGTGCATGTTCAATGTCTTTTAATTGAGTGCTATAGCCTTCAAGAAATTTGCCATATTTACGGAGCTGAACTTCTTCCACAATTTCTGAAAAAATTATTCATTGCTTGAACAAAAATTATATCATAGACTTAATGAAATAAGAAAAAGCATTATTAATAAACACAATAGAATAAGTAATATAGATTGTGTGTATGTGCCCATATATATTGTATATACAGTTTGCCTTGGTGATAATAGTTGGAGCAGCAGATCACGATATAGAAATATCCCCTGCACGGGTACTAATACAGAAATCTTACTCATGTTTTTTTAGTACAAAATCCCTTTAGCAACTTGACAATTGTTGTTGGCCCAAACAGGTAACGACATAGAAATATGTTATAATACATTTTAGTTTTAAAACTTATAAATGGGACAATATTTTGCAAAAAATCAGTTTTGCTTTATTTATCAAAAAAAAAATTTTCAACTTAGGTAAGACTAAGTATTATTGGAATAAGATTTTGCATATAGCCACCAGTCTCCTAAAAGTGCCAAATGGATTTTAAACTTGAGTTATTCAGTTCAAGTTCATACCCTTCAGTGATATTTTTGTCAGGGGGGATATTTCCTATCATGATCTGACGTGCCAAGCAAAATCACCAAATAGATTTTAAATTTGCAAATTTTTTTCAAACAAAAAAAAACATATAGATGTTTACCCGGGGGTGGCTACGAGTTATACCTTTCGAGTTGCTCTCTTTCTGTGATGTTTTTTCTTTTAGATACTCGCGAGCAGTTGCCGGTAAGTTATCAAGACTTGGCGATTATTTTGCTGCAGATCACGATACGGAAATCTTTCAAAAACAACTGTTGTTATGTCATAAAATACATCTATCATTCACAGTAGTTCTGGTATCTTACAAAAATAATAATTAATAAAGTTATTAACATATTTAATTAGAATAACATAGTAACTTTTCAGCAGCAGATGAATCAGTACGCCCCCTTAACACATAAAAAAAGGAATAAAAAACAAATACAGGAAGGCAGAGTATTGATATAATTAAAAAGAAAAATTAATAAAAATGATTTTTTTCTTTACTTTAACTTACTTATTACACCGTCATCAACTGTTCCAACATCCCATTCCTTCACATCAACAATCATTTTAGAATTTTGCGATTATAAACAAATTCTAAACAGTTGAATAGTCATCGGGCAATATTTCATAATAAAAAATAAAGTCAAAAAGCAAAAACTCTGAAGACGCTACATAGTTTAATACTTTTGTAAGCGCAAAGGAATTTGAATAATAAAGACTAATAAAAAATTTCAGTATCAAAAATTTCTGAAATATGGAATGTTTACTCCTGTCTACAGATTTTATTGAAAGGTACAAAATATCATTCGTATCAACACTTTACCAATCAGTTTTTTCAGTTTTAACTCGTATATACATAATTTTTTAGAATATAACAAACTGAAAAACTTGAAAGGTTGGTTCAGTTTTATCGGTCGGAACAAATCAGAAACAAGTTGTGTAATTAATAGAACGGGTAGAAACAATTAAACGGTTCACTTTTACCATATGTTTAATGGCAATGATGGAACATTCTCACTGTATGTAATTTGCATTTTCCCGTGCGCAAGTCGTTCCTATTAAATGAAGTTTCTGAACATAAGGGCAAACACATCTGAAACAATCTTATGCTGTGTGAATATTCCTCGAGAACATTATAACACTAATAAAGTAAATTCGTTTTTTCTACGTCAATGCAGCGATAAACACAACAGCATTTTTTCGCTTTGGTAGCTGCGCCAAAACAATTGCAGACGGAAAACTAATGGAGCATTCTCACTGCATACAACTTACATTTACTATGCAATTTGCGCATGCGCAATCAGTTCACCTTACATGAAGTTTCTAATCGTTCAGAACGCGCATCTCAAACAATCGCATACAGTAAAAACACCTCACAAAAAAAAAAATTAATTAATGACTGGTCAGCGGTACAGGGACGAGATCCTTGCACCCTACATGAGACTTCTTCACGAAGCATTTAAATTTCCTATTTACGGATGATAATGTGGGGATTTATTTATAGACTATGTCAACCCTCATCTATCAAAACGTACCTCGTGATAAAATCAAGTTAACATGTCTTATACACTAGGGATTTGGTATTTAATATTTGCAGTGGTAGTTACGCCATATTACTCCCCTTCCAGAATTTTATCTGGGAGAGAATTCGATTTCGAGCAGACTAGTGCATTAAAAGGGGAACTGAACTTACACTTTGCTTCTAAATAAGGGACTTCAAGTCTTCTTATCACGCCTAAATCACATTTTTTTAAAACGATTTTTTTTCCCCTCCGCAGAGGATCAAAATTGCGCTGGCATGTCTTCGGATCATCCTCCGGGATGTTTCCCAGACCGTCGCCAATAGCCCATTGTGCAGCTCTAGTGCGACGTAAATTAACAACAACAATCATTTTTTTGCTTATAGCATTTCGCTCATTTTTTTTTCTATATTGTTTATTGCCGGGAGACTTTATTTACTTCGCCGGATCTTTTTTCCTTTGAGCAGTTTATATTAAGCAAGTCAACTGTTTTTCTTTCTTAATGTGGACCATCCATCATGTTAGCGAGTGTATATCACGTCCGCAGGTCACCATTGTGGGGATTTATTTATAGACTATGTCAACCCTTATCGATCTAAAGATACCTCGTGATAGAATCAAGTTAATATGTCTTATATACTAGTGATTTGGTACTTAATATTTGTAGTGGTAGTTACGCCACAATAACGCCGTTCCCACAGGGCTCAGCTGACGGACGAACTGAGAGACCAATCGGAGGATATTCCTCGATTAGAGTAGCCTGTGATTCCACCTGACCTTAATCCTATGGACCCCATGGATGCTCAATTGCAGCTCGAAGAACAGCTCCAACAACCATCAATGAGCTCAAGTGTGACTTGGAGCAATAGTAAATGCAATGGCCACAGAGATTGATAAGGACCCTGGTAAACAATATAAAAACGCTGATGCAAGAGTTATGCTGCTGTTAGAAGCAATCATATACCCTATCATAATTCGTATTAATAACCGTCGTTCAACAGCCGATCCAATTTTTGGGGTTTACGACTACTAATGTTCAACTCTGTCACCTTGTAATTTTGAACCCAATCCAGAAGACAAGGGAACTCCTGGATCAATTATTGAAAGAAATTTTGCGTTTGTGGAGGACTTTTTGATGGAACTAACCCGCATTTTCGTTACATCGGGAGGAAGATCACGAGAACCTCCCATGGTTAGTCCGACAGCAAGGGGACTCTAACTAATGATCCGTCTTCCACTAGGGACACTTTACTTCGGCAATCTTGTCGGTGCGAGCCGGGTGCAGAATTCATATCGACCGATTCGAACCCGGGCCCCCTCACTGGGAGACGGGAGCTCTATCCCCTGAGCCACCCTGGCTCAGACAAAGTTGCTTAGAGTTATTTTATGTCAAATCACATGTTTCTTTTTCTTTTCTTTTTTTTTTTTCTTCGCCTCGTAATATGGTTTAACAAAAACATTATTAGCAGTTCAATTATAATTTCTGAAAACCATCTACTTTTATGTATAAAAACGAACAATGCATATTAATTTCTTTTAATTTCTAATAAATTTTGGTGTAATTAGATTGTAAAGTTGCGCTTTACCAATCCACCGCAATGTCTTGATTTTTTTTTCTTTTGTTATTTTATGGGATATTCATCCCTCTGTTGGTTAGACTGGTGAAAAGAAGAGCGAATGTGTTATGAAGAGAATTCTGCACGTAGTTTGAAGGTTTAGGGAGTGGCAAACAACAAGGGGCTTTGCCTCTAAAATTAAATCATCATTATTAAATTATGAACTAGGGTATTGAATAGGACTGGAGTGGACAAAGCAAACACATTCGAGTGATAGCGAGCAGGAGGTTGAGCTTCCTAGCAATACAAAATGAATCATTCAGTAGTCAATGCACACTCATCAGCATGCAAAAGAGAAGATTAATAGGAGTCGGAAGATAACTTTTTAGTGATTACAGAATCGAACAAAAAAGGAATCCAAATCCAGATGATAACTGTTAATCAGTTAAGAAAAGTTATAAAATTATTCATATTTTTATATGGAGAGAAGCACAGATGCATCATTGAATGGATCTTTTCAAATTATTCTTTACATTTACTTACATTTTTGGAACTTCGTAGTACCAAGAGTATTTTTCGAGACATTTGACTAATTCTGTACTTTTTGCACACCCTGTGTGGAAAAGGTATTAAAAATAAGCTTTGATTTCAATGATACATGTTGGGTTGTTTATAGTAGCAATGTTTTTAGGTCTGATATCATTCTATAAAATTAAAATTATCATATGCATTAAGTTCGTGAAAGATAGGAATAGGAGAATATTTTTTATTCTTTAACATAAAGCTTTTTGCTATGCAATATGATGAAATTTCGACGACATCTAATTATGAAAAATTTCGATGATTTGTAAGATCTAATATCTTATATTTAACTATTTTAACTGAACAGCAGCAAAAAAAAGAAAAAAAAATTAAGAGAAGGGTACTGAATAAAAATATTATTTTAACTTCGTTTTATGCTGGATGTTCTGTATTGACTGTCTTTAATGTATATTTTTAGAATCCTTGCCAAAAATTAAGTAAGAAAACTATCATTTGGCATACCTGCCAACTTTTAATCACTTCCATTATCATTTTTCCCAGTGGCATTAAAATGGAATTAAAACTTCAATTTTAAGCAAACAAATACGTTGCATTTGAATAAACTTAAGTTGACAACCATGATAGTACCGCATATTAATATATGTGCTTAATTTTTGAAAGAATAGTGGTGATAAAAATCATTCAAAAATTAAGTTTATGAAAGAAAAAATAGTATATATTTACTAACACTTCAAATATGAAAATAAAATCTTCCAGAAAATCCGGAAGAGTTGGCAGGTATGATTTGGGGTTGCTAATGAATACATTAGCGAGGAAAAGACAAAAATACTCTCGAAATCTAATGAATCACTAATGGACGAGGAATAACTGGAAATATCTAAACCTGTTTGATTGCGAAGCAAACAGAGAGGAATTAAAAGAATCTTATTATTAAAAACATATGCAAGTTAACTTAAAACAATCAAACTAGTTTTTAAGGTTTTCTCCCCGCCTTCTTCTTTAGTGATTCAATAGATTTCGATAAAGTTTTTGCCTCCTCCTGTAATAAATACATATTTTCTGACCTCTATCTGGTATATTTTCTTACCGTAGTTTTCGACAAGGACTTTAAAACATACTTTAACGACGCTGATTACGATTTCTATAACTCACCAAAAAGATTTAATTTCTTTACTCAAATTAAAAAAAAAAAATGAATTAAACTCCTGCAATAAGGGATGTGATCACTAGAGGATGCGATAAAACTTTCTTTACATGAAAGACAATTTTGAATATATATATATATATATATATGTTCAAAATGAAGATAAAACAAAGGAAAATTACAGACATATGAAAAAGGGGGGGGGGAA